GATGATAGGAAATAGGATATATGGAAATCAGTTTCAAATGATGAAAAACAATAATGATTTATTAGAAATAAAATACCCACCAAAGTGCACTTAAGGAATTTGATGGAGTATTAGGTTTTAGCAAAAGTATGTGGTAACAGTCAGAAGTGGGCTGGTGTTTTGAAAATTTGGTGAGAATCGGTGGAGGGGGGGGGGGGGGACGACCAAGCACGTTGTATTTGAGCAATTCACCAACAATGGCTCAAACGATTTTGAACAATAGGTCTGTAGAATTCACAGCGATGTACGTCATTCTAAAATGTTTGGGGAAAAAGAAAAAAAAAAGAATAAAAAAAAAGAGACGGGAAGTATTTCTTTCAAGCAGAAGTACAGGAGAATTTTATTGCTGAAGTAATCCCCCTGCAGGGAAGTTTTGAGTTGCTTACATTAGATCAAGGCAGGAAATAAGGCTTTACAAGGAAATGATAAAAATGTTGGGTGGTTGTGAATTACAAGTATATTTGGATGTTGGAAGAAAGATAACCTACATTATATACTTAGTTATTTTGTGCCAGTGTAAGTCTGGAAGACCATTGTGACCAACTGGCTAAAAAGCTTTATCAGTGTACATGTATGTAATGAGAATATTTATAGAAGTCAACTCGCAATGTAATCTAAACTATCACTGCAAGGATGATAGAAGAATTCTTCTTGTTGCTTCATTCTCACTGAGTAGGTTATAAAATACATTTTTTTCAATGATACCTATACAACATTGGAATGAAGCAAATCTAAAATGTAATTTTGTAAGGCCATCTAGGTCTGCAATGAAACTAAAAATACAACAGAACTGTGCACAAAGACATATCTTTCCATCCCCCCCCCCATTTCTTTGTCCTTTTCTCTTCAATAAAATGCAATGTACAACATTAAAACGTGTTAAGGACACACCTGAAAATTGAGTGCCTTCACATCAAATTTTCCCTCCATACCCTGGCCATTAGCATAAATTGTATTATTGACAGCGGACATGTACAGCTTGCAGCAGTGACACATTGCGTTATTAAATAAAAGTAAGGAAGAAGGATTCAAAGATGATTGCAAATTCATTGTCGGCATGGAAGAAAAGGTGATGCCTCATGTTGGAGAAGTCATTATCAATGAAGCAGTAGCGTCGTGTCTGACCCCGTTCTCAACCGAAATATGAGCGCTTTCATTTATCCCTTCCCGCATGCTTGTGCATCACCGATACCCAATCACATTCCCAAACCGACCATTCACTGACTGATAACCGACATAATCTGGGCCTTTCCAGGTTGTGTCATGTTTTCTTTGGTGTATAAGCCACTTCGGAGAAAGCACTTTTTTAATAAATGACCCCCAAATATCCACAGACCTTTTGCACGTGGAGACGTCCCACTTTGTGCATTTCAGAATAATCACTGCCAAAGTGATGGAGGTGCTTCCTGAATATCTTTTTTTAACCCTCTTGAAGAGAATACTTCCACCTGTGTATATACATCAAAGAAAGTTTTGTACCAATGACTGCAGATAGTATCTCTGAAGGGGCTAATCATCGGTCTGGTTTCTGTCCCGTCGGTGTAACCAGGGTATAGGTTTATAAGCGGCCATGGAGAATGAATATATTCTACGCTCATATTCTGCAAGATAATTCTTTGTATAGTTGTTTTTGACACAATATCATAATGGAAGCAAACTCATAAGACATAATGCGAGCAAGCATAGTTCATTTTGAGGAAGAAAAGCTTTTCTGAGTTGAAAAACAGGATCACAATCATATTCTTAGTGAGGATATATCACTAATGGGATGCAAAGGGTTAAGTGCAATCTGCGTTAAAGGGGAACACTCTTGTTTGCTTTCACACTTGAACATGTAACATATCTGAAGCAAGAGGGATTTCGTCCTCACCGAGATGGGAGATGTGGGGGCTAGGTGTCCCTTTTTCCACACATCTGTTTACACAATAGGTATGTTTTCATCAGCTCGAGATTGCCAAATAGCCCGCTATTTCTGATTTGGGAAATAAGCCCAAAGTTAGAAATTGCGCCTTCATCAGCTCAAAACTCGAGCTCAAGAAATGTGAAGACGCACCGGACAAATAGTGGGATATTTTGCAAACTAGCCCAAGATATCTTCGGATGATTTCCCGAGCAAATAACCCACTATTTGCGCTTTCACCTGCCAAATAGCCCGCTACAGATTCATGAGCGGGCTAATATCCAGGATCAGAAATAGTGGGCTATTTGGCAATCTCGAGCTGATGTGGACAGGCCTAATATGAGTAAGAGAGAACTCCTAGAGGTGTACTGCCCTATTAGAATTCACCCTGAAGCTGGTATCATGGAAAGAGCTTCTACCGCACTTGCTCCTGGACGATCGCTCTGTGATAATTTCCTCTGACCAAATGACAAACCCTTACCCCTCAACCTAGCCTGAAACCCAAGTGTAACCCAAACCTGAACCCTATACTGACGGAGTAAAGTCCTCAGCAATTGCCACTGGAGAAGATGTTGGAGTACCCAGGAAGATGCGTGGTACATTCAAATCTGTCTACAGCAACCGCCCAAGATAAACACAAAAGTGGTCTTTGTAGACAGGTTCCTTTAGTACATGTTTCAATGAGAAACCATTTTCAAGGGAACAAAAAATGTGGTCCTTGTAGACAAGTGGTCACTAAAGCAGGTTTGACTGTACTAATCTTCACAGTTCACACTACTGTACCAAATACGATTTTATTATGTGTTATCTGGCTATCAAGAAAGCTCTTATCTCGTGAGTGTGAATTTGGCCTCGCTCTTTTAACTTTTCCCATTCGGCTGAGACTCCAGGGATGTCATTCACAGGGGAAAGCGAAGAAGAATTAATTGGTTTCATGGACCGTTCCTTGCCTTTCTACCAGGCACAAGCCATTTTCCATCGAGCATCATCATCACTGCAAAGATGCTGAAAACAAGACTAGTCAAAATTATCCAACAATAATGATGAGTTGTTGGCTGGAGGGAATAAGCTCATTTGACACTAATTGCCACCCTTTTCTATGAACTGTGCTTCGTTATCAAGAAAAAGCAGTAATAATAAATAACATGATTTTTTAAAATTTCTCCCGCAAGCCAAGCTATCATGAAATGGATTTTCCAGGTGAATCACACATTGTTTAATGAGTAATATTAATTTTGTAGGAGGGATGAGCTCAGGGTTTTCATCTTATGCTGAGTCAGCATGGGACATTACTTGAGTGTTCCAATAAATAATGGCTTTTTGCATCATTCTGCTCAACCACTGTGACCATACCATATCCACCTTCATATCAGCTAATACAAATTTACCTTATTTATTTACAAGTAGCAGGTCTTTTGGATGAGTAATTGAGTATAGTTGTATTTGTTCAAATAACAAAACTTTGAATCGTTGTTCAAGGATGATATTTTCTCATGATATTGTGGCAGAGTTATTGATGTGGAAAATAGATTTGTTACCGGTATTTGTTTTTTAGTAGATCAGAGGTGAATTATTTAACAAAAGATATTGTATAGGGGATTTTTTTTTTAAATCTTGGGAGTTTACTAGTAAATTGGCTCCTTTGTAGGCTAAACCACAACTCTTCATAGTTTGTGGGATTTAGAGATAAATTAAGGGGTGTTTTATTTTATAAATGAATTTATCTTTACAAAGAAAATGGGTTGACATAGTGGCAGCATGATCTGATAAGCATGTCATTTTTTACTCAAAGAAATGCATTTATTTACAGACAAAATGTCCTTTTTGTAATAAAGAAAAAAAAAAATTCTTTAAGATTTTTCAGACAAGGTGAATCAGAATACAAATTAAAAAAACTATGAGTATTTGATACACAAAGTACTTATTTTCATTCTGTGTTATGTAAAGAACGATGAGAGAGTCATCATATATTACCAGTTTGATGACAATATATGAACATTCTTGTTTAGTGATTCCATCTATCATTAATGTTCATTGCAGATGAACCAGGAAATGCAACACATCTATTTTAATACTATCATTAATAACTTTATTGTGCAATGCAAAGAGCTAAAGACAATGTTTTTGATTACTCATTAAGAATATGTATATAATGTATCACTCTTATACTTGTAAAAAAAAATAATAGGAAATGAGGAACACTTGTGAAACACGGGCATAGCCAAAGGGGGAGGGGGGCCTGGGGGCACATATCCCCGCAAATTTCAAAAATTCAACCCCAAAAAGAAAAATTTAATAATTTAGTAACACTACATGCATTGAAATGTCAAGTTGTAAAACGTCAAAATGCATTTTTTAACTCAGTTGCTACGCTCCCTCGCAGAATACATAACGTAAACATATCTCTCACACACTTCTCCACAAAAATCTCTGGTACCCCCCAGTGAAAAAGTCTTTTCTACGCTACTGTCAAGAAATAACATTGTTCTTTTAAATGCAAAACTCTTTCAAAGACAAAATTCAAGTTCATTGAATCATCTTGATATCCCCCTCCAAGATCTAGAATTCATTCTTAAATCTTCTATTGACGCCCAAGATTAATTTCTCTGCTACATCCCAAGTGCTCTCCTATGATTTGATGATCGAGAGTGCAAACTTTCTCGGTAAACACGGGGCCAGTCATCGAGAGGGAGTCATCCATCAATAAACGCTTAGGCTGAAACCACTGTCTTCATTTCTAGATTTATGGAAATATGAAATAATAATGAGTAATTAGCAAATGAATTTCTTTCTTATTTCAATTAATCAGGAACTAGAGTTCAGTTTAGTTTTTGACTGAACAAGAAAAATAAAATCATTGTCCTTGAGTCATTGTCGTAACGTGAAGTATTCTACATATTTAAGACTCATCGCTCTAATACTGATCAAGTGTGCTTCCACGGACTTCGTGATCGAGAGTGCAAACTTTCCGTGTAAATATGGGCCAGTGATTGAGAAGGAGCGATACATCAAGAAGAGCTATCTGACAAATTTGCTTTCTTCTTCTTTCCTTTGTCCACAGAGTCGAGAGATGACGGTCGAGGTGCACAACGAGATTCTGAGAGTACTCAATGAGCTATTTGCTGTAAGTAATCAACTTTCATCTCATTATTACATCTTTAAAGGGAAACCGTGGCTAAGACTTACATCACTTCTTTAGACAGAGATTGGCTTGCAATCATATTCTGAACGATAAATATTGACACGTAAAAGTGTTATCTTTAAGCTTCTCATTCAAAGGTTTACTACTTTAATTAGAAATGCTATATCTGAATTTTGAAAAACATATTCAAGTGCTTCCCTTTTACAGGCTTAATCCAGAAATTCAACCCAGAGCAAACATAGACAGAACTCCTTCCTAGTGTTTATACATGTCAGTTGTAAGTGTTTACGTAGACTGCATATGAAGTCACATGCGTAATTCTGTTGAAATACTCTGGAGTCTGCAAAATCTTCTTTTGTGTGGAATTTATTTAATAAAACTACATTAAATCTAAATGATAAACATTCATTAAAAGTGAATGAGACAGATTAAAATCTACGTTTTTTATGTGGCTGGTATAAGGACGAAACATTTGTCAGTACACATCAATGGTTAATAATCTAGTAACCTTTGAAACCGCTTATTTTATGTACAATCAATGAGGTCTTTTGTATCTTGCTCTCTTCAATTTTGAGAATTTTGAGCATATAGTTCTCTATTGAAGGCGTCACTGGGTATGTACAGTGTGTTCTAGGGTACATCTGTATATGTGCTATCCTCCCAATATGTACTAGTGATAATCAGATTGAAAAAAAATAATCTCAATGCTTGAACACACATGATATTGTATTAATGCTTATTTCAAGCACTGTTTTTACAGGTTCATTAATTCATAGATTACAGGCGTGGTAAATTGAGGGTTTAAGTTTAGACTGATTCTTGCTAGACAAGGCAGAGGGTTAGTGTTGAAAATAGTTTTAGGTTCGGTTTAGGGTTAAGATAAGGGATATGTTCTGGTGTTGGGTCCAGGGTTTGAAAATAATGAATAATTTGGCTAGTGTCGGAAATTGATGTGAAGCAATTGTCGCAGGATCAAACGTCTTATATTAAAACAATTATCCATATCATGATTATCATCATTTTAATGCTTTAAATTGTATCTACCCATACAGGAAACCAAGTCTTACCATACAGCACATGCCACGTACAAGACGTCAGATGACAAGCTACAACAAATACAAAGTGACCTTGAGAAGGCCAGGAAAAAGGGCAGGAGAATCAAGGAACATGAAAGAAATTTCGACAAGGTAGAGATCAATTTCAAAAATTATATTCCTCTGTTATACCATAGCGTTATTTATATCATATCTAAATTTATTATGTGAGCATCTGCATTTGTCACTCGATTGCAGAGGAGAGGAAAAGCAGACCTGGGAAACATTAAATGGAAAAGAAACGTTGATAGGAAGTTGGTCTGATGAAAAGCTAGATTAATAATTAGATAAACAGCTTGCTGAATGTTTGGACATAGAGTGTGCTTACATAGGGACCTAACCCTTGTTTTTCTTATGCTAGCTATATATGTCCCTTAGGAAAATGTAGGTAGAAAAATGGGGTAAAAGTTGCCATTATTCCTCCCCTACAAGGGGAATTTTTTAAAATTTTATTTTCTTTTCCCAGCTTTTAGCCCATTATGATGTGGGATGATTTGAACATGTTCATCATACAGGTGTAACAGTTATAATGTTAAAATCGTATGGCACAAATCACCCTGGATTAAAGGTATTACAAAGTTTTGGGAAATTTTGAAAAATGGGTGGATAGTGATTCTTTACAATTTTAATATATTTGGATGCCCCTGTGGATGTATTAAAAACACCAGAAATTTTAGCCCCTAAAACACTTCTGCTTTCGAGAAAAATTGAATATAAAGATTTACCCGTGCTCCCGGTAAATTTTGATAAAATTTCAAATAGCTCCTACGGCCGTACAATGGTAGCTGCGACCATGAAAATCTCAGAGTATGTAGTTGTGATATATAATTTCCGAACGAGAATAGCTAATCAGTCAATTTTAGTCAATAACCATTGTTTTATAGCTTAAGCAATATCTTGACCTTGAGAGGGAGCTATTCAACATAAAGTGTTTATTATTTACAATTTCATAACTTTAGAGTCGATTTCGACCGCGACAACGATCACTGAATATTGTAGGATCGTATATGCTTCCAATATGTTCATTTGAACCAAATTCATGACCCCATACCAAAACTTTGTATTACCTTTAAAGTCTGAAATGATTATTTCAAATAGTACCTTTAAATCCAGATGGTGTATCAAACTTGTAACATGACAATGATTACCGTCTAGATAGGAAATACTTGCAGACATCTACATATTTTCTTTCTTATCTCCGACCCATTTGTCGCAGCAGAATTTGGACCAAATTCAATTCTTTTGTTTTTATTTTCATTCAAATCATTTTGATGGTTTGAAATCATGAATGACGAATTGGCTTTCAAAATTTGATGGATTGAACATACATGCTTTAATCTTTTGGTTAATTTTGTAACAACAAGTATCAGAGTAATTTGAAACCATGGTTACAAAGGCACTTAAAACATGGTTTTGTGGCTATTTGCCAAAGACGATCAGAAAGCTAGATGACATAAAAATGCACATGCACATCACATTACCATATTAGGTCTTTCCTCTGGACGTTGTTTTTTTTATTGGCATCTGGTATCGAAGCAGTATATCATTTTCAACAAGTGCTGGGAAAGAAGCAAATAATGAATATATATGTTCCTCATTTTCAAAATATGATAGGTTGTATTTGTATTTAAACCTCTCGTAATCCAAACACCTAATAGTTAGGCTGGACACAATGTACAAACAGTTCATGTACGGGAAGTTCATAGTGGTGAATTACACATGGATAAATCTCGTTGTGATGCCAAGAACTACTATTTCATTTTTATGCCTCCGCCACCGAAGGTGGTGCCGGAGGCATCATGTTTTCGGGTTGTCCGTCCGTACGTCCGTCCGTACGTCCGTCCGTACGTCCGTCCGTCCGTACGTCCGTCCGTCCGTCCCGTTTGACCGTTATCACAATATCTCAAGAACCATTTAAGATTTAAACTTAAGACTCGGGAATAGTATTTATCACCATAGGGAGACGATCTGATTAGATTTTGGAGTACGTATGTCAAAGGTCAAGGGTCACAGAGGTCAACTTATGAAATTCCATACATTGAGATTGTTATCATGATATCTCAAGAACCACTGGAGATTTAAACTTCAAACTTAGTGATAGTGTGTATCACTATAGGAAAACAATCTGATTACATTTTGGAGCACGTAGGTCAAAGGTCAAAGGTCACAGGGCTCATTATGTATGCAAAAACAGCTTGTGATCGCGTTATCTGAACAACCGATTGATGGATTCCTGCCAAACTTTGGTCATGTATGTATCTTGCAGAGCTGATGAACTGATTAGATTTTGGGGTCACGAGGTCAAAGGTCAAAGGTCACAGGGCTCATTATGTATGCAAAAACAGCTTGTGATCGCGTTATCTGAAGAACCGATTGATGGATTCCTGCCAAACTTTGGTCATGTATGTATCTTGCAAAGCCAATGAACTGATTAGATTTTGGGGTCACGAGGTCAAAGGTCACAGCGCACATTATGTATGCAAAAACAGCTCGTGATCGCGTTATCTGAACAACCGATTGATGGATTCCTGCCAAACTTTGGTCATGTATGTTACTTGCAGAGCTGATGAACTGATTAGATTTTGGGGTCATGAGGTAAAGGTCAAGGTCATGCGGCTCATTATGTATGCAAAAATAGCTTGTGATCGTATTATCATTAGAACAGATTGATGGATTCCTGCCAAACTTAGATCATTTATGTATCTTGCAGAGCCAATGAATGGTTCATAAGATCAAAGGTCATGGGCTCATTATGTATGCAAAAATAGCTTGTGGACGCATTCTCATTAGAACTGACAGATGGATTCCTGCCAAACTTTGGTCATGTATGTTACTTGCAGAGCTGATGAACTGATTAGATTTTGGGGTCATGAGGTAAAGGTCAAGGTCATGCGGCTCATTATGTATGCAAAAATAGCTTGTGATCGTATTATCATTAGAACAGATTGATGGATTCCTGCCAAACTTAGATCATTTATGTATCTTGCAGAGCCAATGAATGGTTCATAAGATCAAAGGTCATGGGCTCATTATGTATGCAAAAATAGCTTGTGGACGCATTCTCATTAGAACTGACAGATGGATTACTATTTAACTCAGGAAATCTTGCAGAGCCAATGAACTGAGTAGATTTTAGGGTCATGAGGTCAAAGATCAAAGGGTCATATATGTTTATGAGAAATTGCTTGTAATCACGATATTCTGAGAACATGTTAATGGATTACAATTGAACTTGAATTTGAAAAATTTCTTCCGTTTCGGTTTGTAAAATTGCTCTATGACGGAGGCATCATTTTCGACTGCGCGCAGTCGAATTCCATCTAGTTTCCACATGTTATTGCTGAGAATGATCTTCTTCTTACCTTAGGACCTACAAAAGTGTAATGAATACAGCCTGAAAGAAGAAAAAAAAAAGAAGGAAATTTGATAGCACAGGAAATCTTAAACAGAGTTGAATGACCAATTTACTTCACAGCAGATTCCCATGGATTTAATATTTATTATATTTTTTTACATTTATTTTATTATCAGGAACGTAAGAAGTACAAGGAATACAATGATAAATACAAGAAAACAAAGTAAAATGATAAATACAAGAAGAAAAAAAACACATTAACTCATGCCTGGGGATTACCAAAAGAAATTGACTTTCTGTACAAGGCTCTCCTCATTAGTTGATTGTATAATACATAAATATACACAAATATACACAAATATACATAACTATACATAGATATACATAAATATACATAAATATACATAAATATACATAATTACATAATAATTCAATACCAAGAAGATGCAAAAGACAAATCATGACATGAGATTATATAAAACAATCATATGTTAGTAACATTCTATTACAGTTTTATCTGGCTTCATTGATATTACCATCAATCTGTTACTCCAAAAATAAATGGTTGGTTTTCCTTTAGGCCACTCGCTATTGGGGGGGGGGGGGGGATGTTTGGCCTATAAATGTTATGAATAGCTACCAAAACTGGACAAGGACAGTAAAGTGCCTTGTATATGTCATCTTCTCAATTTGTTATTAACTGTCATGATTAGGTACTGATTGAATGGGTTGTAGTTTTATCACCGATAAAGCGATTTCTCAAGTGGAGAGTAGTAATTAGACTTGTTTCGCTTTTTAGATCACCCTTATTCCCAACAGATTCAATGATAAATTTGTACTGTAGGTATAGACTGTACATGTATTAGGTGAATACGAAAATGTAAATTATACCCTCCATAGACCTAGATACTAGTTTTATACAGTCTCTTTCATGTTCAACGTTTATATCCTGCATAGTATAAATGGATAGTAGAAGATTTGCGAAACGTACTTCTTACTTCAAATGGCCCTCCCCCTCTTTTTCTTTGTAATGTTCTCACTATAAGAATACAGTGCCCTTCATAATGTTCATTTTTGTGCAAATTTCTGAAATAAAAGTCAAAAGTAAACCTCAGAAATTGAATTTCTTTAAAAAAAAAAAAAATCATCACAAAAAATATCAAGTCTGTGATAAGAAAGAAAGAAAGGGGAACAAAGGTCTGTGATAACCACAGCCATATAATTACAGCATCTATGAAGTTAAACACATACACATATTTTTGCTTTGATTATGAGAGGGTTAGCTTAGCTTAGCTAGCTCATATATATAGAAATATCTTTTATAAAGTGAATTTTAGTTTTACTTTGTGATGACAAGTACATTGATTGAAAGGTATTGTACTGTGAAAGTGAATTACATGCAATAAATTCTTGCAATATATATATATATAGATATACAAAATGTACATAATGTTTAGCAAGTGCATATACTGGTAAATCTCCAAACAATTTCTGTTTGTAAAGTTAATTCCATTATAGGCCTGTTTCTTGTGTTTTGTCCTAACAATTGTGTCCCATTCACCCTATATAGACTTGAAACTGATACTATATATCCCATATATTGCTTGTAAATGTAAATCACAGTGAATGATGTCAATCAATGCACGCTGATACAAGGTATATAGGGCATTGTCTGTATGTCTCTGGTGGTATTGAACTTCTAACAAAAACTTGTAAAGGAAATGAGGTTTCATTATGAACTGAGGTTTCACATATAGTACATGTACCAGAAAGATTTTGTGCAGCAATAAAAGATAGGATTACATTTTGCATTAATTATTCAGTTTGAAGGATTTACATATTTCGGTTTTGATTTGTTATTAGATATTCCTGTGATTTTGTACATGTAGTTTTAACACTAATCAAATTACAAGAAATATGCAGAGTATCAAATCCTGTACAATTTTGTTATGGTTTGAATTTGTATTTCCTTCATATTAGTAGTGTGGGAACATTTCGTTAAAAATCAAATACTAAATGTATGTGCAGCATTTTTCCTTATGCAATACAATATTAAACATAAATGGAATGAAATGACCGATATTTGTTAAATGAAATGAAATGACCGATATTTGTTAAATGAAATGAATATCAATGAAACATATAAACATATAAACTGCTGAAAGCACATGTAGACCTAGTTTTTGATTTATGTTACAATGATTGGATTGAAAATCACGTTAAATGCTCTGCATGTATTGTGAAGTCAAATTTGAGACAACGGGTCAGCAATCCATAAAAGTTTTTGAAGATATACTCTGGAGGCTATGACCAACAGAACAGGACAGAGATACACCACTCTCTCTCTCCATCTCCCGTGCCAATATGAGAAGACTTTTTCAGAAGAAGAAGAACCTGAAAATTAAAAAAAAGTCTACAAACTTTCAAATAAACATATTTGTGGCTTACACCCAGTAAATAAACAATGATTGATCAATCTGTTTTATTCATTTATTTTTTAAATTGTATTTGTTTGTTCTTGACAGGGTAATCAAAAACTGCAGAATGCACAGGTGAAAGCAGCGAGAGCCAGGAATGACTACCTGCTTGTTATCTCGGCTGCTAACGCCACTATACAGAAGTACTTTGGACCAAACGTCACTGAGCTCATTGACGTAAGTAGAGCTTTCATCTTCAATTTGGCAACAATGGTGGTGTTCTCCTCTCACAAAATAAGAACTTTTAGATTCGCACGAAGACAATGGGGATTGCTACGATCGACGTCCTTTTAAAGCACTGCCTTGAATAGACGTCACACGTATCAGTCCACGCAAATCTAAAAGTCCCGAATATATGTTGAAAGGATTCCTAATGAATGAGTGTTTAACTTTACTGGCAATTGCGTTTGACAAATGTAAAAGTTTTGTTTGTTACTCATTGTTGCCAATTTGAAGATTTTGATGCTTTGTCTAAGAATTTATTATAAAAGAAGAGCATGTACCATGTTGAAAGGAAATAACCTACTTACTGCTTTATATGTAAATTGTATTCTGAGGTAAGATTTATTCATGACTCTTTACACCCCCTTGACCATTGTGAGGGATATTGTTCCCTGTTCTAATAGTTTTCTCTGTGGCCTTTTTGTGGTTATGTTTGATATCAAAATGTTGTTTACCTCATGGACAGAGTATAGACCTGAACAATTCATATAAATGAAAAGGAAATAGACCTGAATAGTGCTGTGCTTTAGACTCTTCCTGCTCTTTCTAAGTTGTGTAATATAAAATGTTTGTAATCGGAAGATACAAACCAAGATACAGGAAGCCTTTCCTCTTACACATAAGTTATTTGAGTAGCCATCCACTGGGCGATATTTACTGAGCTATTGATGAACACGCCTGAGTGCATCACGACAATACTTTAACCTTTCCATTAACATCGTTTACCAGAATACTTGCATGAGTCATCAAGTACTCCATGTATGGTTACATGGACATGTCCCGTTACAGATCTTTAATACAGCCACAATGATATCTTTGAATGTACATTTGATTGTCCATAGAGGCATTATTTCTTTTTCAAAAGCCTCGTTTCAGAGATCACCTGCAACTGCCTTATTATGAGGCATCCATTTTTAATATTCAATGAAAACAAAAAATGACACAATTTAGCACCTAGATACTTCCTGAAAAACATCCTTTTGTGATCTTTTCTTTTAAAGATAACTTCCTTCTTCTCTGTCTTTGTTCTGAAATAATCGTTAAAACCATAAAAATATAATAGGCCGATGAATGTCATACGATATGAACCATGTTGAAAGGAAATAACCTACTTGCTGCTTTATATGTAAATTGTATTCTGAGGTAAGATTTATTCATGAGAGTCTGTACGCCCCTTGACCTTTGTGAGGGATATTGTTCCCTGTTCTGATAGTTTTCTCTGTGGCCTTTCTGAATTCTGTGGTTATTTTTAATATCAGAATGTTGTTTACTTCATGGACAGCGAATAGACAAGAGCAATTGAGTGAAACCCTAAAGATTTTCCAGTTGTATTTGTAACACTTTGACAGCATTTAGACCTTGCTACATTAAGGCCCAAATTCTTGTAAAAGATATACTACATGTATATGAATGTCTTCTGGACAGTATTTGGACCTGTGCTGTATGAGGAAAACACAGAAAATGTTCTTCTTTTCTATTTTTCTGTGTAGCTATGTTTCATATTGTTTAGACCTGGACTACTTTATGAAGACCCAGACTATTGTTATTCATTTACACTTGTACTTTGTACCCTTGTTTTCCAGTTCAGTATGTACATGTAGATCTACACCTACTCTGTATGCAGTTTAGTTATATCTTTTTTTCTTTACTTTCCAGGGCATTGTTTTAATCTGCTGTAGATTTATGCTAACCATAAAGAACCAAAAGCTAGTCTAGGCCCTGTACACATTTACTTACATTCTCTCTATGTCCTTTGAATCTTCATGACAGTGTTTAGACCTGGGCTACGTGAGGAAGACCCAGAAGATGTTGTATGCCTTCCAGACCTCCTTGAACCAGGTGGCGAAGCTCCAGCAGGAGGACCTCCACCGATTGGAGCTCAACGTTCGTAACATGAATGCCACGAAAGACAAGGAGGCTTTCCTGGAGACTCACAAGGCGGCCTTCGCCTCTCCCGATACATTCCAATTCCATCCACACGGAGGAGATAATGTAAGTTTAAACAACTCGCTAGACACCTGTCAAATAACATAGACTCCAGATAATAATAATACTACGGCATTTATTATGTGCCATCGATTTAGTAAACTATTGTGGGGCACAGAGGGACAGTATTACCCTGGCTTTAGCACGGCTGCCATTACGGCGCTCTAGCATTTCAAGGAATTAATTTCTGCCAGGTACCTATTTACTTCACCTGGGTGGAGGGTGGCAAATGTAGATTAATAGGGACTTTTAGATTTGCACAACAACAACGTGGATTGCTACGATCGACGTCCTTTTAATGCACTGCCTTGAATGGACGTCATACGTATCAGTCCACGCAATTCTAAAAGTCCCTAATGTCTTGCCAGAGGACATCAGTGCCACGGCGGGACTCGAACCGCAAACCATGTGATCCCTAGTCCGTGGACATATCCACTAGACCACAACACTTCTGTAGCATTTCTAAATGGATAAATCTTTATATGAAATACTGAGAGGGTACATACATGTTGGAGCTTAATTTCTCTGTTATTTTTTGGCCTCGTTTAGGTGATCTCAATGACTGCGGACCTGTACCCTCTGTCTGATGAACTGAAATCAAAGTACAACACTCTCGGAGAGCGCATCAGCCAGTTAGAAGTAGACACCAATGAGGTATGTGCATCATTCACCACGGTCCTGTTTCACAAAATTTGTTATCATTGAATAACAAGTTACAATAACTGTTACAAGCTACTGAAATCGTGGTTTTTGATTGGCCGAGAGCAATTTTGTCATAGAAATTTAGCATTTGTTATGGATGACAAGTTTTTGTGAAACAGGGCCCAGGTCTAGGATACAGGAGAAAAAATATATCGGGGGAAAGGATCCAAGGGGACCAACTACTGAGAAGTAGTTTGCTTGCCCTGTGTGGGCTTCCATTCCAGTATACAACATGTTTATTCAAAATGCCACCGTCGAATAGTACTTCTGAAACAGTTGCACGTATTGCAAGTAATACTGAAATTTCATTGATTCAATGAAGAGAAGAAGATCCTTCAGATTAACGAATGAATTTTTACAAACTCTCAAATATATTCATTTCATCAATGTATTTCTTTGCCTCCATCATAAACCCTCCTCTCCCCCTCTCAGCAATTTTAGTTTTGCTGTATTTTGCATGAGTACCAATGTTTATCTGTATATTTAGTTGGCACCCGTTTTTTAAATATATCACTCTCCATGTTTTGCTAGAACAGCTCAGTATTGGGGGGAGTATTTTAAAAAGCAATTTACATTTTTTAGCCAGTAGTTGCAATAACCTGACTATTATTGATGGTGCCAATCCCACGGAAATGTCATTTGAGTGAATTAATGAATAAATTTAGCATACTGGAGATTTTTTTACCCATTAAATCACCTAGAAATATTTCAAAATGTGCAGAACTATATGTATTACTGTATAAAACATGTGAAACATACAGTACACAACATCAATGACTGCAACGATCGCTTGTAGCAGATGGAGACACAATGCATTTCTTTTTCATATATTCATATGTAACAGTTGAACATTGTTATAACTTCATAAAACAGGCTTGTTATCTTGAAATTCAATAGAGTTAAAGTTGAAAATATCAGCTTTCGCAGCATATATGCACAGTATAATTAGAAAAGTCGGTCAAGGGATGTAATATTTGGCACAAAATGTTTGACATTTAAATCCCGTTTCTGACGTCACCTCAGAGAAGATATCCCTTGAAAGGTCAACAGGATATCTCTTGTTCCAGTTTTATTCAGATTTTAAAAAGATGACAACTGTAGAATCTAAAGGTCAATTAGCAACATTATAAAGTATACTCTTTGTTACATTCACATCTGGGCGGCGACAACGGATGTTTTGGTGTCTTGTTGTACAGAACCATTATTAAAATGCTTCAATTTTGTTGACTACTTACAGTACATTTACCCTAGATACCAGCAGGAAATTTGTTTATTTTTTTCATCTTTTGTTACTAAATAGTATATTTAGTATCAAAGAGATGACGTGGAACTAATTTTATGACAGTGTGGGTGGCCTATTACTTCTATTATTCATTCTGCATTGATTCTGCATTTTAAATAGGAATGCAATGTAATACCTAATGTTTGTGCAACTCACATTTATAGAGATATTACAAAACGGAAAATAAAGCTTTATTTGCAAATCAATTCTACTGCAATTATCCAAGCATGTGCAAACATCCTTGAACAGTTCTCATTTAATCTAAACTGGTTTTTAAATGAGTTATTTCAAAATAGGTGCATAAATGTTAACAAGTTTATGAATGAATGTCCCATTCGTTCTCCTCCACTGTGCTTTTGCAAGTGATAGCTCAAAATGTACACTAGTGAAAAAGATAACATAAGAGTGGAGGGCATTGCTATTCTGAATAACTCTAAATCAGCCCTATAAAGAAAATAGATATTTTGCCAAAGACAGTCATACCTTTTTATGAGTAAACCCTTCCCCCCCCCCCCCCCCTCTCTCTAAAAAAAAAAAATAAATATTGTTAACATAAAGTATTTTATACTTGTCACTTCAACAATGATTCCTAAAATCTGAGTTTTCTCTTATGACACTGGTAACTCACTCATAGCACCTGACTGACACTACCACAATAATTAGACACATGCCATGTCAATTGCCCCTTCATCGCACGGTAACTTCAGTAGTGCCTCCCCTAGAACCTCCCAGTCTTTAATTACTTCACATGGTAACCCTAGGGTGATGATGAGCCGAGACAGACAGACTGTATTGCTATCTGTGCGTGCCTACCCCTGTCAGGGTCTATTAAACACAGCATCTGTCACGTTGCGACGATACCGATGTTTAAACCATTCACTCGTGCTAGCCTTCAGCATCAGCCAGGCAGATGTTTCAAAGACACTCTTGTTTGACGATACCTTACTTAGATCACCCAATCAGTGGACTAATTACCTTTCTCTTCAGCTCATTTCAGGTCTTTTATTTTGAAAGTGGCATTTTCTTCGGGATAATTTTGGAGATTAAGAAAAAACGACCATGAAATCAGAGGTCTTTTGAACTGTACAGAGCCAAGCCATGCTCGATTCCATGTACAATACTTTTGTACTGCTGTTCAATAATGCATTTTCATGTGTTTATGTCCAATCTTCTCTTTTGGGTTTATTTGTTTGTTAAGATTTGAAACCTTTTAGTGCATCTAGGCAGGGAAAAGTATCTTTGTATACTGCCCATTTTTTTTCTTTGGATCTTTAATTTTTAATAATTCAATAGTGTTTCCTCCTTTAATTCAACAGTGTTTCCTCCTTTATATCAATAGTGTTTCCTTATAAGGTCTGGACGGATGTAGACTTTATGTAGTTGATAATATGGAGCATTGTTTCAAGTCCTACCTTGCAAAACATTAGGTGGAATAGGATCGATTAAGGGAATATCCAAAGGCTAGGTATTTCCCCCAGCAATTTTATCGAGTTATTTAAGGTGAACGCTGTAACCATGAGCCACAAAACATTTATTTATTTACTTATTCAAAAAAAAAAATATTTTGTTGTTGCAAGAGGTTTGTTCTCTTTCCACCATAAACAATTTTAAGATAGAGTGTCGTATAACTGAACCTATTTAGTATTGTGACATAGCATGATAAGTGGCTTTGTCTCATGATCTATTTTTAAAATTACCTGGTAGGATACATGTAGGTCAGGGGCAGAGTAATTGTCATTCACTACTTTAGTCAGTTTTCATGGATAGAAGAACAATGGTATTTAGGGTCACACGGTGATGAGAATTATATGGGCTATCACCTGACATGAGGGAAGGGGGAAGGGGGTTGGGGGAGAGGAAAGGGGGAGGGGGACAGGGAAAGGGGGGAGGCACACTTATGACAGCATGGCAGTGCTGTTTGCAACAGATGATTGATGTAGAATGTATATAAGGCCACATGTAGTCATTGATTGATTAAAATTGACAGGGAATGAATGTTAATTGGGTGTGTGCAGTTGATAAGGGTGACATGATGTATCAAGAGTTCATCCATGCTTTTGTTTGATGTGTTGTTGGTCTTATTCATGTCAAGTTTCGCTACTCCGGGGAACTTTGTATGAGTGAAGAGTTTAACCAAACTTTTTCATAGTCTCCTTTTTCCTTTAAAGGCTCGTTTAAAGGTAATGACCAGTTATGGTCATGCAATTGCATTGTGAAAGAAACGTTGTGGAATTGATCAGAAAAGGTTGATCATCTAGCATATAAGTATTGGTGTGAACTGCAAGGTTCTGGAATCATCAAAATGATAAGAAATATGGCTCAGTCTCCGTAAAGTTACAAGCACTATACACAGAAAGATGTATATGGGACTATACGCACACGTGCGCGACACGTGCGTTTATCTCTCACAGACCATGTAGATAAACTAATTTACCAAATATATCAATTAGTAGGCGAAATTGTTATCATCATGTATTAGTCAAAACATATTCTTTCACATGATTGGTAATAAGATCTTCCATTTCATTTTTTGAAATTAGGGCGTTTCCAATACTGGTCTTTACCTTTAACAATGTTTCCAGTTATACAAAATATGAGCTGCATGGTCCTAAGTGGTATCAGTGTCTGTAATATTAAAGCCCTGAACCGAATTGCGCGAAATGGTCATGAAGTGCCTCAAAAAATAAAAGTCTTTGAATGACCGGTTTTGCCATACTCATTTTCCCCAATAGACTGTATTGATATAAAAACCATCAGGAAAAATGAAATATGAATTTTAGATTTCCAATCATAAATATCTTGATTATCAGACAGGTGATCGGCTTGTAAAAGTCATGGGGTTCCTGACTGACTTAACCCTTACTGTACTGGGGGGGGGGGGGCCTGGGAGGCCCCCCCCTCGACATTTTTGGAGATTGCGCCGCAACCGCTTGAAATTTTGAATTGTCGTTTCATGACTTTTTTTCCCTCAAGTCTTACGCACGTTTTGATACCATTTTCGTTGCAATCGGATATACCTGTGAGGTGTTACATAACAATTAGTATGCGCATGTCATCAAAAATATGCTATAATTGCATATATTCATGTACAAGCAGAAATGTGAATACAGGTTTAGATGTATTCCTTCCTAAGTGGGTGATATGAATTGATATCGAATTGCGTTTATATGTTTCTCAAAGTAACTTGATGTATTCCAGAACAAAAGAATACATAAGAAATAAAAACAATAGATATAATAAGAAATAAAAAACAATAAAATACATAAGAAAATGAATATTGGAAAATCGCATCAAATTTGCATAAATTATCATTATTAATTACATCAAAATAAATATTTTGCGTTAGAAAAGAAGTTTCATATGAATAATGAGTTTCAACATTCAAAAAGTGGAGTCTGACACGTTTTCTGTAAAATGCATAAAATTAGCATTTTGCATAATTAATTAGGCTATAACGACAAAAATTTGCATATTCGCAAAAAACTAATTACACCATCTTGTTCGTTACGTAAATATCTATAGACATGCAAATTTTCGTGTTCATCGGACATCCGACGGCCCCCCCCCCCCCCCCCCCCCCCCCCCCCCCAGTCAGGAGGTGCTCAAAATAGCCCAGTACAGTAAGGGTTAAAGGTTTATAATTATGATTGCAGCATGATCTAAATCTAGGATTTTGTTTCAGATTCTGAGGCAATGTTATCGAGACACTTTAAGTTGATATACATTGTAAGATCTACATAACATACATATACTTTTTTTAATATTATTGAGTATATATTTTTTATGACTGATCAAGAAACATAATCAAGTGACCTTGAATTTGAATGCGGATTGTAATCTCTGATGAACTGTGTTGTATCTCGCAGATCAATAAGACACTGAAGGAGATGCAAGTCAACTGGGATGAGGATAGCACGAACCAGAATGAAGAGGAGGTACAGGCGCAATTCAAAACCCTCAGGATACACGACTCCACCACAGAACTATCAAGAGCGCCCTCTATGAGACGAATCAAAGCAACCCAAGAGAAAGAACTCTTCTATCTCGGGGTAAGTAGCATGGATGCAGTAGACCCAGGGGGTGCTTCACAAAGATCCTAAGTCGAACTTAAAGGAAACCGAACCCCAATTAATAACTTTACTTATTCTGAGAGATTTATTATATTATTGCCCATAAATCTACAAGATTCCCCATCAAAGTGTATGAGAGAGGTATAAAGCAAAAATAAAGTACAATTTCTCAGCACGACATGGGCATCGCCATTTTCTTGATAATGTGATGTACTATGCGAAGTCGTTTATCAAGTAAATGTTTTCAAATTTATGGAAGCTTCTTTCCCAGACGTGTGTGGTGATGAAGCATTTCGTTCACCTGCTATTATCCTTTGTACTATAATTGCCAGAACGCAAATTGCATAAATAAATTAGTGCTCTTCTGGGGTGAAGGTTTCTCATAAATGAAATAGATTTGTCAACTGCTATAGTGTAGTATTTATAAATGAATTTTGTTACAATTGTGCCCCTATTATTTATTTTTCACCTGATATTATCCTTTGTACTATAATTACCAGAACACAACTTGCATAAATAAGTTAGTGCTCTTTGCAAGTATGGAGTATGTAAGAAGTTTTGATCTATTTTACTGTGTATTATTTGTACTTGTCTATATCTAAGTTTTGTTGAAATGCTTGTAAAACTTGCAATGTAATTTAGCTTTCGGGCTACCATTTTGCAGTTGTTCTAATAAATCATTCTACTACTACTACTACAATATAATTTCTATCATCTCAGTTATTTTTTTATTTTATCGAAAAGTAAAGGTTTTGTTATTGATTTAAAAATTCTTTCCAACTAAAGCTTGGTGCATGATACATGTACAACTTCAACATGTACGTCACATTTTCAAGAAAATGGCTGCGCCCATATCATGCTGAAAGGCATCACATTATGCCAGGAATATCTTCATTTATATATATCTTGTACATTTTCGTAAGGAATATTGTACATCAAAGGGCAGGAATACATCTCATTTTTCAGAATACCTACACTTATTCTTTGGGTTTAGGTTTCCTTTAACGCTTAGTTGGACTTAAACATTATGAAGAGCCGTTTGTAGCCTTGAACTAAAATATATTCAAAAGCAAAAATTCAAGTACTTTAGATTTTTCATAAATTCCATATCAAGAACATGAAATCTCCTTGATAATAGAAAATATGAATGCTATGTTGCAGTTGTTAACCTTGAAGATGAATACCACGCTTTCAATTTGCAATTCATTTGACCGTTGACATTTTTCTTTCTTCTTGCTATTCCTTTCTCTTCCAGAAATTCAAGGAGCAGCTGGAGAAGGGCAATGCCTTAGCGAGAATGAAATCTAGGAGGGATATCATCAAGGACGCGTTAGGATCAGGTGAACATCTTACAGTAGAGCAACTAGGTTAACATGTTCTTGATTGAAGCTTCTACCATACATGCAGTTAAGCAGGCATGGTAGAATACAGAGACGAGCACTAAATAAAATAATAGAATTAATGGGCCACCCATATTGTCATAAAATTAGTTAGATGTCATCTTTTTGTTACTGAATATACTATTTGGTAACTAAAGATGAAACAACTAAACTAATATCATGACAGTGTAGGGTGAGTATACTGTAGGTAGTCAACACAAGCGGTTGGTAGAAGTTGTAAACTACATTTTGTGATTTCTTTCAACCTATTAATATTTTTAACTGTATAATTCTAGTATTGCGTGAGCATGTCCAGAATGGATTCAGTTTTCATTGTGAGATGTACACAATGAAAGTTGTGATTCAGCTTCATAACAACTCTTTACTGTTTTGATCTAAATGTTGATATATTAATAAAAAAAATTAAAATTTCAATCATGGTGTAGTGTGAAATCTTAAAGGGAAGGGGAAGTCCACCCTGATAATGAGCTAGTATTAATAAAAGCAGAAAAATGAGAAAAGTTGGTGAAAGTTTAAGCAATATCCTTTTTCTCGTCCATATCTTTTGTGAAGTGTAAACTAGGCAAGAGACACTTTCAGCCATTTGACTTTTAATTTTTCTTCTTTTGTTTTAACAGCTGGAGATTCCAGAGGACACATCAGTACAAGGTGAGTTTGTTTTGGCCCGCAATTTGCTCTTTGAAAGAAATAAAACACTTTTTATTCAGGGTTATCAAAGTGACGGTGTTAGAAAACTGTCTGATGTATTGATACAACCTCTGTAATGCTAAGACATACCTGTACATGTAATGACTTTGTAATTTCTATTCATTTTTGTATGCCCAGTCTTACAATAAAACAGAGATGGAACTTTATTATATAAATTTGACATATGAATTGTTTATTTTTGATGAGCATATTTGTTACCTGAAAGACACAGTACAGATGAGGGCTGGTAAATGGGATTAGGTTCTCTCTCTCTGTCTCTGGCAAATACTTTGTCTCTGGCGAATACCCTGTCTCTATCTCTATATCTCTATCTCTGTGTGTCTCTCTCTCTGTCTTTGTCTCTCTCTCTCTCTCTCTCTCTCTTTCTCTCTCTCTCTCTCTCTCTCTCTCTGTCTTTATCTTTCTTCCTCTCACACACAAGCTGTTTCATCAATTGTATTCCCTTGTGCTCCATTCATCTCTTTCTCACTCACTCCCTGCCTTCATCCCTACCATTCTTTCTCTTTTATCCTCTGCTTCTTTCTTGTTCCTTCTTTCTTTTTCTTGTTCCCTCTATCTTTCTTTTTTCTTCTTATTCTCTCATTCGTTCTTTCTTCTTTCTTTCTTTCTTTCTTTCTTTCTTTCTTTCTTTCTTGTTCCCTCTTATTTTCTTTTTTCTTCTTATTCTCTCGTTCGTTCTTTCTTTCTTTCTTTCTTTCTTTCTTTCTTTCTTTCTTTCTTTCTTTCTTTCTTTCTTTCTTTCTTTCTTGTTCCCTCTTACTTTCTTTCAGTCTCCCCATCTGACTCCCATCTTTCATTTCTCCTCCTCCTCCTCTCTTCACCTCTTTATCTCCCCCCTCTCCTCAGTCTCTCTTTCCATCTTCCTCCCCTCCTTCTTTCTGTTTTGTCTTTTGACATTCTTCATCTTTCTCTCTGGCCCTTCTTTACCTCCTGTGCCCATTGTCTCTAACCTGCTTTATATATCACACTGTGTCACATTGTATATTTTCTTTGATCAGACCCAACAACCATGTCCACAAGAATGAAGGGAGGCTGACAGAGCGTCCAGGTTCAGTCTACATGCCTTTGTTTGGAGCCGACCTTCAGAGCTATCTGGAAGTGAGTATCCTGTATTGCGTTATGATACCTGGGGATGTTTCACAAAGATCCTAAGTCAAACTTAACTCTAATTTGGACTTAAAAATTATGGAGACCCAGTTCTTAAATAAATATATTCAAAAGTGAAAATTCAATTATTTTAGACATTTCATAAATTCCACATCAAGAACATGAAATCTCCTTGTTAATAGAAAATAAGAATGATTTGAATCAACAATTTTTTGCTTATATATTTTCATAGATGCTAACGGCTTTCCACAATTGTCAAGTCCAACTTAGAGATAAGTTCAACCCCCCCCCCCCCCCCCCGCCTCTGATGTGTCACCATGAACCTGCACAACATCATGGGAAATTGATTTTTCAAAATGTTCTATTCTTTAATCTGTGAATTCACAGCTTATTACTGATGTATTTATTATGTGGTAATGGAACAGATATTTATCTTCCTTTAAACTTTAAACTTTAAACTTGGTGATGGTAAACTAGTTAGAAAAGTAGTAAAAAAAGATGCAGTAAAGCGTGAAGTTATGTGAATGTTCTGCATACTTGCCGCTATCTCTAGTGATAATGTACACTTATGTGGTTGACGAAGAAGAAGCAGTTAGTGAATTTCATATAACATTAAAAAAGAAAGATGTCTCTAAATATGTGAAGATGGTGGTGGCAATGACGATGGCGACGATGACGACGATGATGATGCTGATGATGATCATGATGACTTCTTAGAATTTGACATTTAGTTATATGTTACAGATTCAGAAAAAAGCAACTAAAATTACATTATTTCTGTTATATTTAATACAGTTGATTTTTTTGTTGTTGTTGTTTTGTTTGAGTTATATGAATTCCTAATCCTATTCCTGTTTTGTGATCTATTCCTTACAGTCCGGACATTATGAAATCCCACCCATTGTCCTTAGTTGTATAGATTTCATCTCGGTCTTTGGTAAGTCACACAATTGTATTTCATATGTTTATTTCACTTTCAAGCATAATATGATACATGTACCCTTAGAAAAATGCTCAATTTCATGAAAGAATAAAAGAATTAGGTCAACATTTAGAAGAAAAAACTATAATGACCTGCTGATTTATAACACTAGTGGGACCACACTAGGCATTGGATGAAATGACAACACCAACTTAATAGTATATCAATAAGTTTTAAAACCTGAATTTTACACATTGTATGTACATGTATGTTTACCAGTGTCTAAGAAGAAAGTGGACGCTCTTTATCATTTTAATTCTTTATTGTTCAAACTCTTAATTGTTCAATTTCTTTATTATTCAAACAAAGGGTCATTAAAAATATACAGTCAAATTAAAAAGTAATCATTTATGCAGTTTCAGTTCTGTTCTGACAGTTTAACATACCTCTCACTATGTAACATAAAAAACAAACATATTTTTTAGAACACCACTCGTGTCCGATCTACAAGGAAATCATATCAAATCCTTCATGTGGTTTTGTTCTGACAGTTAACATACCTCGAACTAGCATTAAACAAAATAAAAAAATAAAAGACAATAAAAAGAGATAAAGGTAGTTGACAGAACACCACTCGTGTCGAGTCTACAAGTAAATCATGTCAAATCTTTCATTTGGTTTTGTTCTGACAGTAAACATACCTCAAACTAGCATTAAACAAAATAAAAAATAAAAGACAATAAAAAGAGATAAAGGTAGTTGACAGAACACCACTCGTGTCGAGTCTACAAGTAAATCATATCAAATCTTTCATTTGGTTTTGTTCTGACAGTAAACAAAACACTCACTTACATTAAACAAATAAAAAAAATAAAAAAATTTAGATTTCAGAATACCACTTGTTTCGATTCTACAGTAAATCATATCAAATGCTCCATTTGTTGAAGCACCCTATCTCGCACCCCGGGTCTGACATGGCCGGTTGTAGCAACTACTCCGAAGATCAAGTTACATCAATCTTGATTTAAGGAGACACGAACGAATGATTTGTTGAAGTAGTATACCTATAATATGAACTTGGGTCAAAACACTAATATATTGCTTGAATGCTTGGTCTTGAATGCAGGTCTCAAGCATCATGGTATCTTCCGTCTCCCTGGTTCACATCTAGAGATCAACGATATGAAGGAGCAGTTTGAACAAGGTGAGTATGTCTACCAGTCTTTAAAGATAAAGTTTAGTTCTGGTCATGAGATTGAAAATGGTGTGGAATTGATCAGAAAAGGTTGATCATCTGGCATATAAGTATTGGTGTGTACTTCAAGTTTCTGGAGTCATGAAAATTATTAGAAATTCGGACCAATCTTGGTAAAGTGACAAGCGTAGAACACAGAAAGATGTATATGGGACTACACAAACATGTGGCATAAAAAAAATTTGCCTAATTTTTAAGCTGTACGTTACTTGTCATATGTAGAATATGAAGGTATTTGAAGAGCCATGCTTTTCTGGGAACATTTTTTCTCTGATGTTCTTCCAAATTGCATAATAACATTGAAAACGCTCACAAATTATATTTCACATCTCCCCAGCACTGAATCTTCTCTTTAAGAGTGTAAGGCTGTAAATAGTTCCTGTAATGGTACTGAGCCCTGTTCCCTAAAACTTGTTATCAATAACAAGTTACAATAACTGTTTAAGCTACTGAAATCGTGGCATTTGAGATTGGCTGAGAGCAAATTCGTTCTAGTAACTTAGCATTCGTTATTGACAACAAATTTTAAGAAACAGGACCCAGCTGAAAGAATTCAATGCTAGTTTAAATCTTTATGGGTAGCACTGTACAAATACACACTTACTTCCAGGTGGCTTGTACTCGTACAGAAGAAGAACAGCAAAAGAAAGCAAAAGAGAGCGACATATTTCTCCAAAAAGAATTAATGGGTTATTGCAGCTAATCTAATACTATGGCTCATCCATTCAGAGGAAGCGAAAAACAAAGGATACACAATTTTGTATTAATTGAAGAAATTTTAAATATATTCAGGCTTTTGCTAGCCAATATCAAATCTAATTGCCATTTAATAACAAAAACACGAGGCAGGTACCTCCAAATCGTAAGATAGCTCTATTCCTTTTGTGTGTTATTTTTGTTGTTGAAATGTTGTTATACTCTACACCCAAAAATTAATTAACACTTGAAACCACAACCAACGTTAGTTAATTAGAGACTCAAAGCCCTATAGAACAAACAACATAAAGTGAGTGAGTAATGAGAATTAAAAAGTACGGTCTTTGTACGTGGTATTTTAGCTAGCCTAATTAGGTACAGTGTACGTAATCTGATATATTATGAATTGATCTGATACCATATATGGTAATCTGTATTTTCTTTTTGAATTTCTGTTCAAAGAGAAGGTTGACTCCTGGGAAAGGTGGAAAATAATCTGTGAGATTTTTCATTCTATTTATGATAGTATCGTAGAAAAAATCTCATCTTCCATTGTTGTTCAATACAGGCAAGGATCCTGTCTATGGTCTTGGAGATCTTGGTGATACAAATGTGGTTGCTAGTGTCCTCAAGGCGTACTTCAGAGAGCTTCCAGAACCACTCTTCCCTATCGTTCTATTCGATGACTTCATGGAATGCATCAGTAAGTATCTCATAAACATTATCTACACGGTATTGATGTTTGTTAACTTTTTGAAATTGTTTATGGTATATAGGCAGTAGTTACATGACACGTTTAAATAATTTTTTACTAAATGTTATGTAAGTTTTTAGAATGTATATATTTCCAATTTGTGTAATTCATGTGCAATTCAGTTGTGAAACTGCCATTCATGAAAGATGCAATAAAATACCATTTATCTATCTATCTATCATGATCTTTGTTATGTCATGAATGTTGACGTGAGACATGTCATGGTGGAGTGTCAATGTTTGATTTTGATTTGAAATGCAAAGCTTGTGATTTTGATCCATGGTACTGATGTCCTTTGAAGAACATTATTAATCTACATTCGCCACTCTTGACAAATTTTGAACCTGGTAGGAAGGAACTGTTTTTTAAATGCTTTCATTAAATTATTCATACAGTAAATCCTTCTTAAATATGTTATAATTAATGGGAGGGTGGTACGTCGTACGGTCACGAAGTCAAACTAGATTTTGTGCCACAAATTTAATGATTTCGATTTAGAATATCCATTATCCAACACACACAAATCTTTTTTTGAAGCAACCCTTGAGAGTTATGGTGTTATTAATGTTTTGTTTCATCCATTGATTTATTGTAAAGCTGCTGAAAGATTCTTATTCTCGACTAAAATTGGCCTTTAATTGAGAAATGGCTGTCTTTGGTTTCTTACAGAACTACCCTGCGGGAAGGAGAGAATAGATATGTTAGCAGAGCTGATTTCTAAGGTGCCAGTCCCAGTCATGGTTATCATGAGATATCTCTTTGCGTTCCTAAAAAGGTAAGTACGGTATGTCTTGACATAAGCTTAAGCTCACGCACGCCGGCCATTCCCCACTCCTGACGACGGATAGTCAACCTGTTCAAAACGTCGAGCTACTCCTACTACCCATCCTCTCCAACCGGCGCTATAGTTCTCCTTAGAACTATAAGCTAAGAAAGATAACCAACAGCATTTTTCAGGACTACACTCACTCACTCAAAAAAAGATTACTGAGAGTCCTTTCCAGGTCTTCCAAATCCTCCCCCTCTCTCACATGGTGCCACCGTAAGCCTACTGTATATCTACATCACCATGCAAGCTGATAGTTATAAGCAGCATCTAATTACACTTATGTCATCAAAAAAACAAAATAACGTTGTTGCTTATCACATCGTTTCTGCACAAGGATAAAGTATTTTCTTAATCTGTTATGTTTTTGTTCTTCAGCCTATCTCAGTACAGCGACGAGCACATGATGGACTCTCACAACCTGGCCTTGTGTTTTGGGCCGACCCTGATACGACCTCCTGCGGGCTACGATGAGGTGTACTACCAGGCCAACATCAACGACCTGGTCGACACCATGATCCTCTTCCAGAATGAGATCTTTCCGACCGAGCCTGGTCCACGTTACCGGAGTGGCAACAATGCTGATATCAGGTAGACTTCATTCTTCATCTCCTCCTAGGCCAGCCCTCCTAACATAATGAGTTACAATCAATTGTATCTCCCGAAAGTGATCACATCTCCTCTATCGGGGCCCTCTTGCATAAAAGTCAAGTTACGATTGATCGCAACTCGGATCAAACGCAAATATCATACGCAACTTGCAATCAAACGCAAATGCGCATTGCAAAAAGAGAGTTGTGATTGAAATCAAACGCAACTCTTATGCAATGAAATGCAATGCTGCGTTTGATTTTTGTCTCGCCTGCGTAGCAAAAAAGCGAGACATAGGCGCCGCTTTTCCGGTGACGGCGGCGGCGTCAACAAAAACTTAACCTAAGGTTAAGTTTTTGAATTTTTGATATAATTTTGAAAGTATAAGTTCTTAGTCAATGAAACTTTGACTATAGGGTAATCAAGTATCCCCAATCATGTGAGTAGAATTTCAGATCACAAAGTCAAGGTCAAAGGTCATTTCAGGTCAACAGACTTGGACTATGTTGTATCATCATCATTGAAAACTTAACCTAAGGTTAAGTTTTTGAATTTTTGATATAATTTTGAAAGTATAAGTTCTTAGTCAATGAAACTTGGACTATAGGGTTATCAAGTCTCCCCAATCATGTTAGTAGAATTTCAGGTCACTAAGTTAAGGTCAAAGGTCATTTAAGGTCAACAAACTTAGACTTTGTTGTGGCATCAACATCAAGATTTTCAAAATGCTTCTTCTTCGTTATTTTTCAACCGATTTTGATTCTGATTGTTTCATATGATAGGGCTAGGAAGGGGATTTAAAATTTCTACACAGAATCGTGAAATTCATTATCTATGCTAATTTATGCAAATTTATTCGAAATCACAAAAAAGGCTTCTTCTCCTTCATTTCTAGACCGATTTTGATTTGGTTTGCTTTATATCGTAGAGCTAACTTTGGAACACTAAACATCTACACAGAATTGCAAAATTTATTCCAAAAATAACAAAAATTGCTTCTTTTCCCTCATTTCTTGACCGATTTTGATTTGGTTTGCCTTATCTGGTAGAGCTAAATTTGGAACACTAAACTTCTACACAGAATCGTGAGATTTTGCTCCATTGATTATTTATGGTACTTTATGCAAATGAAATGAAATTATGTACCTTCCAGGGCATCAAATTTTTATTTTTTGACCAGTTCAAAAGTGTACCACATAAAATTTAGGATATTTGTTGTTGCGAGATGCGGATGAGCGCTACGTCATTGACGTTCTGGTTTATCATATTGAATTGCGTTATGCAGGCGAGCCCGCCGAGAGCGTTTCCCTTGTTAGGACTTGCGTTTGTTTTTTAGAGTTGCGTTTAAATGCAACTCTTTAGGTATCTTTCTGATTAGTTGTAAATTTAAATTAGAATTATGTCATAGAATGAAACAAATTGTTCAAAGGTATTATTATTATTATATTTAATAAGAATGGAGATACAATAACTTTTGCAATTGATTGTAGGTTGATTTAATGTTACAGGGCCCTCAGCTGGCATATTCCAATTTTGAGATGTGACATCTGGTTGGGCATCATGTGTTCCAGGCTTAATTTTGTCAAACAGAGGGTTAGTGTTTGGGTTGCAATTAATTGATTTTTCATGTCTGTCAGAGGGGTTACAACTTTCTGAAAACTGGAAATCTAAGGCTTTGAAAATTGTCTTTGAAGTTGAGCTTTGAAATTGTTGACCAAAAAACTATCGACTCGAAGACATCATCTTATCAGGAGTACTTTGCCTGGCGAGCCAATCACGTCTACATGTTGTCAATATAACTGCTGCAAATTTGACCCCTGTTGACCCGTAATTCGGAGGGGTGCAGAAAATGACATCGGCTGGGGTAGGTACATCTCCAAGTCAAATTCATACATCATCCATTATCACTTTTTCATTCTCTTCCTTCATTCATTTACTCTGGATATGTGAACATCGTGGGGCACCTGTCTTAGTGGAGGCACCTGTTTGAAAGAGAAATTAAAAAAAATCCATGCAAGCACTCTGAACTTACTTTTTAATGGACTTATCTTCTTGTTCAACTACCTGTTCTTGTGTTCATGGAATAATGCAAAGTAATAAAATAAAAAATCATGAAGAGTTTGGTGTCAAGTTTAAATATTGATCATTATCAAAAGTAAAGGTTTTATCTACGTGTAATTATGGTTTTTCTTTTTCTCTCTCTCAGCCCCACAGGAAGCTTAGAGACCATTCCCGAGTCAGTTGCTGATGAAACAGATAATGATAGTAAGCCTCATCTACAATTCATAGTTCATAGTTCATAGTTCCTTCCTTTTTAAGACTCAAAGATGTTCATTAGATCACTCATAAGTGCGGATAATTTCATTGGCATAAAATGCATTTTAAAAAAAATATTTAAAAAAAAAAAAAAAAAAGCAAAAAAAAAATAGAAGCAATAAAGCAGGTTGATTGTGAAGTAAGTGCAGTGACAATCATTAGATTAGTTGCATTCTTACATATACTTCTAATCTCATTTAGAAAAAGTCTTTAGATGGTAAAAAAAAAGAAGAAGATTGCTCTAAAAAGGTGGATGTTATTGTTCTCTTACTACTTTAACTGGTGAAGTTAAATAATCTGCAAAGAGCCTGAAGTGCATTATCTCACATCATTTTCCATAGAGTTAATGTCCTTCTCTCACTCAACAAACAAATGCTACATGGTTATAATAATAATTTTAATCTGGGTTAAAAGCGCTTAATACGGAATACTGTCTCTAAGCGTTTTACAGATATTATCACCCCAGGCATCGGATTCATTCACGCACAATATGCACCATCTCCACTCCCTGGGGAGTATTCCTACCATATGGTTACCGTGAGGGCATATGGCAATTACTAACACAAATGCTTTCCTCATCCTACCCCATTTCTCTCTTGGGTATTGAGTTGCAAATGTGGATTAATGCCTTGCCAATGTATGTTCTGTGAATTATCTTGCTCAATAAACTGGTACTTGAGTCAAAGAATCATCTACTTTGGGACTTCCCAACGCTGTGATTTTTCATTAATAACAAGCACTTCTTTTAATGCACCTTGGAATAGACAAGTTGTAAATGTACTAAATGACACTGAAAAAATGCATTTAAATAGATCATTTAGATAGATGACAATAAAAAAAGGCAACATAACACATTTCAAAGGTGTTTTGGAAAAGTCTTTTTTGTTATATTCACCCATTACCTCCTCTCTTGCAGTGCCTCTCTTAGCTACAGCCAAGGAAGATTACATAGGGAAATCCCCTGATGAGCTCACTTTTACCAGGGGGGATTCCCTAAAGCTCTATGTAAGGGTGGATGACCAGTGGTGGAAGGGTGCTCTAGGTGATCAGCACGGCCTTGTTCAGCAATCATATATCAACCTACAAGATATGTAAGTCTCTCCTCTCATTGATGCCGCATGTATTTGTGGGCTATTGTAGATCTAACCTTCCACTGCACAACTTTCTGATGCTCTGATGAAAATTGTACTGTTATCTTTTTGTAGCATTGAACAAGGTCCAAACTTCAAAATTGGACCGTACATTATACCTAACCTTAAAAGCTTAATTTTCTGGCAGTAACTCTAATACATAATTCTCCAGGCAGCAATTGTTCCATGGTCATTTTGTAGCCTTATCTAAACTCAAGGTCTAAACTTTGAGATTGGACCGAGCATTATACCTAACCCTAAGCATAACCCTAAACCTAAACTTGGAAGTGCTAACCCTAAACTCAAGGTCTAAACTTCAAGATTTGACCGAGTATTATACCTAACCCTAAGCATAACCGTAAACCTAAACTTGGAAGTGCTAACCCTAAACTCAAGGTCTAAACTTCAAGATTGGACCAAGCATTATACCTAACCCTAAGCATAACCCTAAACCTAAACTTGGAAGTGCTAACCCTAAACTCAAGGTCTAAACTTCAAGATTGGACCGAGCATTATACCTAACCCTAAGCATAACCCTAAACCTAAACTTGGAAGTGCTAACCCTAAACTCAAGGTCTAAACTTCAAGATTGGACTGAGCATTATACCTAACCCTAAGCATAACCCTAAACCTAAGCTTGGAAGTGCTAACCCTAAACTCAAGGTCTTAACTTCAAGATTTGACCGAGCATTATACCTAACCCTAAGCATAACCCTAAGCATAACCCTAAACCTAAACTTGGAAGTGCTAACCCTAAACTCAAGGTCTAACCTTCAAGATTGGACCGAGCATTATACCTAACCCTAAGCATAAACCTAAACTTGGAAGTGCTAACCCTTGCCTTCGATCATTGACAAAGTGAAACTTGAAGCAAATGTTGCCCGACCAAACTCGGCTTTGATGTAAAAGATTATTAATGAGACCCATTCTGATTCAAATTTGGAACAATCCTATCAATAATAACATGCTGTTTAATACAGCTGGTCTAAGACACCCTGTCAAAAAAGAAGAAATTCTGGATCTTAGATAGTTATACTGCCACACCATTATTGCCCTGATTTGTAGCCCAGTAGACGTTTTCTCCGACTGGAGTACATACCTGTTAAATACCCAAAGATATCAGCTGTACTCTCCATACGGCCAATCAGAACCTCGATCAGGACAATTTTGCTTCTCAAATTTTCCATAGTTTCCAATGCACAAATGCGATTTCTTCCAAAGTGGTCATAGTCTAATTACATGCAATGCCCTTTAGGCTTTGGAGGGGTTACTACTGATTGTAAATGGTAATTTTGTAGGGCAAAGGAAACAAAAAGAGGTTGAGGGAGTGCTAACCAATTTACTAACTAGATTTTCTTTTGCTAGTAATCATTGTAGTTTAGCAGTTTTGCAGTTAACAGTTTAAAAACACATTTAGAAGATGAATGTTTTGTTTTGAGTTCCATCTCTCTGCAGCACAGTAGGGCTTTCCAAATTCCGTGCAAGAATGAAATTATTTTCTGTTTGAATGGATGCAAACAAAGTTATGAGAAGATCATATATTGAAAAGGGATGTGGCACTCTGTTCTGAATTATGGTTTTAGTTTGTTGTTGTTACATGTGATCAGAAGCTCATCATTTTCACCTCCTTTTTATTTCACAGATTTCGTTTGTAGATCTCATAATTCATTTTAGTTATTCTTATGTGTATCATACATCTACCTTTTGAATAAGATCAGATTTCTGGCATGTGGAATGAGGAAAAAAGTTTTTGCAGCTAGTGAATAAAAATTAGGCAACTACAGCAATGTGTCTTTTCTCTTTTTAAATAAACTTCAACAGAAGGAAAGCTTTATTGAATCATATTGACCATGATTACCTTTTCAAATTTGCATGTGTTTGAACATGTGCATGGAATATAAAAATACCTGTACACTTTTTCAAAACGACCCCTCGGCCACCACCATAGCAGTTGTTATGCATGTGTCCCAAAGTGATGTTCTAAATTTGGCAGATATATATATATGCTCTTTGTCTTCAGAATTAATATGCATGATATGTTAGTTAGAGAATACTGGAAAATGGAAATTGCTCTTCTTTTTTCATGCTGTGATATCCATGTAATAACAGTGTGAAGCAGAAAAAGACTATTAAATCCTAACCAAATGGCTGCTGCTTTTACTTATTTACCCCTGACAGAGCTCAGTTATGATTCTATTGTAAGAGAAACCCAAGGTGAGGTAGCAGTCTATGCCTATCACCCCCTGCATTATCTGAAACAACTAACTAATCAAAAGAAAAGTTGCATGCTAATATTCACATTCAAATTGCATGATGATGATTTTTTTGTTGTTGGGATATATATATATATATCGGTGGAGCTAAAATCCTGCTGTTGATATAAACAGAATCATTTCAGTATTGAAATCGTGTTCATGAGATTTTACCATTTTTTACAGTATTGAGACGCTTTACAATACATGTAGGCCTTTGAAGGTCACCCTCACAAATATATCTGAAATCCTTTTCATTAAAATAATTAAATAAAATGAAACAAACACAAAGAAAATTAAATTTTGTCAAGTTTAAAAGTAAATGTGTGTATGTGTAGGTTGCTTTTCATTGTTATGCCTCCGTTTGTCTGTCCTGCTTTCTCGTTATCTCAAGAACCACTTGAGGTAAATATAAGTTAGTGTGCATCACCATAGTGAGAAAATTTATAAGATTTAGGCTAAACGAAGGTCAAATGTCATAGGTCAGCAAGTGAATTTACATAAAACTATAAAGGTTTTTAAAAAACTTTGACATGACCAACTCAATTACTATTTTAGCAATGAACTTTAACCTGCATCTTGTATGCATCACTGTAGGAAGCAAAGTGATAAGATTTTGGGATTGTCAGGTCAAAGGTCATAAAGATTGATTGACATGTAAGTATAGGTTTTCTGTCCATTCATATGAAGCCATGATCTTAAAGGAATTTAGGCAGAGTCATATTAGAGATGCAGTCGCATTTATCTTTTTTAAAAATCTTTTTTGTTATTATCAATTTCACATTTGTCAACTCTCATTTGTAGTAAACACTAAGAAATGAAATTTAATTCTTTCACAATATTGTATCGCATTCACCAATATTTATTTTACAGATTTTATCGGTTCACAGCTTCACAACCATTAGTCTTTTATTGCAAGAGCACATGTGTAACAAGCTTCTCATTCACATTCTGTTGGAAAGCTCTAGTGATTATCATGGGTTCCATTACAAATGACAGGTCTAACAAGAACAATTACCGTAAAAATTTGGTTTCAGCAAGTATCATACAAATATATACATCAAACTGCACTCTCCAAATATGTTAGCACTATCAAGTTACATACTCCTGAATTGAAAATATGAAGAAATACAAAAAACTATGATAATAAATCATCAAAGAATGGCATCCTTAGTAGATATGGGCATGGACCCATTTTTGTATAACCGTTTAATCAAGATGGACCTAATTCAGACGGATGAGGTTTTAAAACTTTTTAAAGTGTAGAATTAACCCTTTCGAAATAGGATTGATTGTTAGGGTTAAATTGATCATATATTCTTCAAAGTGGCAACAAGAATCTTTTTTGTTTATTGCTACAACGTTAAAATAAAATTTGATGTCTCAGAAAACAATATACAAGGGTAAGAATGTTGTTAAAAAGTTGTAAAAAAAGGCAAATTTTGATTAAAAAACAATCATTTTTAAACTCTCAACATGTTGCTGATTTAAGAAATTTTAAAGCTTATTTTCCTCTTTTAAATTCCTAGCATCAAACACAATATATATTCATGCAACAACAATAGCTGCAGTGTGTGCAGAAATGTTTGCCCATTCTTCTACTCATGCAATTGGCATAGTTTTAGGGCTCTGAATTAAAAGTTATTGAGCCAAACCGCAAAATGTGGAATGATTTTCGTTGAATGGTTAAAGGGGAATTCCATCCTGATATCAAATTAGTTTTGATAGAAGCAGAAAATTAGAGAACAGCACAATCCGATGAAAATAAGGAAGTTGTGAATTTTTTAAAGTCTTAATTGATCAAACACAAATCGTAAAAATTCTGTGACATCATGTGAGCACTAGTATCTCTCCCATTGACTTTGTACTAAAAACATTATACATTTCTATTTCCTCAATAAAAAATAATCATATTAGCCCCTCCCCCCCCCCTCCAGATATTATCACTGCATATGTTTACACACAGCCTCTGTATTAAAAAAATATTTATATATATTTCTTCATCATGAAATATTCATTAAATATTGTGTACTGAGCAGATGGGAGAGGACCTCAAAAGACATATCACAAAGTTGCCAATTTTTGTTTGGTGGTTTTCAATTTAAAAAAACCATAACTTTCTTTTTCAATTTTCTGAAATTTTGATCAAACTTTGACTTAAAATCCATGTCCCCCCATTGTTCTGCTTTTGTCAAAACCAACTAAATATCAGGAGAGTCTTCTGCTTTGTATTACGCATCATTTAGCTGATATTGCATTACCTTTTTTGTAGTTACTGCAAGTAAATTCAGCATATAATGTTGTATTCTTGAATATTCCACTTTTCAAAGTCTAGATTCAGTGGAAGGAATCACCTTTGATTAAAAAAAAAAACCTTTACATACACAGTTGGTTGTACTTCATGAATTAAACGGGAGTATATTCTTTTTAGCGTTTCTAATTTTCATTTTAATATGTCTATCATCTGATATTAGTATGGGTATTATGGTCAATTAATTACTTAAACAAAAGACATTTTCAATTTTTTGAAAGTGCACATTTATCACACAATATTTTGTGAGTGCACAACACGTATACTACAAATATCTTTTTAAAAAGCCACATTTCTTTTTCAAATGACTGTGTCATAATTCTCTTACCAATATAACGATATATACAGTATTATACAGATCTTATGATTATGATGTTGCAAATACCAATATTTTATGTAATACGCTTGCTTGAAATGAACTGATTGATTTTATAAGGACCCTTTCTTTGATACATTTCATTATAATTTCTAAATTTGTAAATAATTTGCTTTTGCCCCCACTTTTCGAAATTAGCAAATGGTACAACCCAGGCCGTTGCAGAAATGAGTTTCATGCTTCAGTTTTATTGGCTAAATAAGAAATTACATACATGATGTACAAAATGTTTGAACATATTAAAGGGTGTCAGACCATCTAGGGTCATTACAGATATATAAATATTTTGTATATTTTATGTCCTGTGATTTGAACTACGAACGAATTTGAGTATCTTGTAGTCTTTAGTTAGAGGAATATGCATTAGTCGTTTCCCTTCCCGTAGTCTCTAGCTCTCCTTAGTCACTTATCCTAACCAAGGTAACGGCCCTTTATAGGCGATCAAGAAACCATAGCTCCATTGAAAAAGGATGGTTTGTTGTTTAGATTAATGAGCTAGATTAATGGCAATGGCTATTTTATCTCCTTGGTTTCAGTTGCAGAAGAATGTGGGTTTCTTGTAGTCTTTATTTAGTTAGAGGAATATGCATTTGTTGTTGCCCTACCCGTAGTCTCTAGCTCTTCCTAGTCACCAAGGGGACCGCCCTCTATAGTTGATCAAGAAACCAATGCTCCATTCAAAGATGTTTTGTCATGTAGATTAATGGCTATTGATTGACACTTAGATGCACTCTTGGTTGGCCTAATAATGCTTTATGCTTGCTAGATCAGAAATACAATTTGTAGTAAAAACTTCGATGATTCTTCCTTTCCTGTAGATTTTCCAAGTTGCCTCTTTAATGTAAAAAGGGTCCCCACCGATATGCCCCTTTGTGAAAGGCACTTTGAACTTTGAACCCAGTTGTACTCCCACAGTGCATCATTGAGGATGTTGTCTTCCCGATCATCTCATGTATATTGAAATTGAAAGATAGTTAGCTTAGTAGCTGCTTGTAGCTATCACATTGCATTCAATGCCTTCCGATATCAGTGGGTGGGAAGCTTGATACTACGGTCATACCTGGGAGTTAACTGTGTGTTGCAGTTTTCTGAAGGATTTCAGATTATTATCATAACGAGTATTGTCTGGTTGAGGATCGTTCTAACATTATCCAGGAACACAGTCCCTTCCATTGAACTCTTTCTGGTCTGCCTATGCATCACTTATATACAGTCAAACCTGTCTATAGTGACCACCTAAGGGAAACACAAAAAGTGGTCTTTGTAGACAGGTTCCTTTAGACCATGTTTCAATGAGAAACCATTTTTAAGGGAAACAACAAATGTGGCCTTTGTAGACAGGTGGTCACTAAAGCAGGTTTGACTGTATCAGCTATTGCCACAAACCCCTGGCAGCATGCCACACCTTCTTAGGTTACACAACACCTCGCCCTGCTCCTTAACAATGTAAAAAGCGATTCAATATTACAATTTAATGTCTGGTGACTATTGCTTCAATGTCTGTATCTAACTCTAGTCGTAGACCAATAACTGCAACACTGGTCCCAAAAGGAAACCTATCTCCAATGCTACCCCTAAACCTTAATCCAACCTTGATCCAACCTTGATCCAACCTGAAATGGGAACCCAGTCATCAGATTAATTCACCTAAGCAATAATCCACTCAAGAGTTTGTTGACTCCTAATCTCAGTATGGGGTCCCTTGAATGATTGTTATTTGTAAAACCTTCTACTTTGTCTTCTTGTCTGTGTGCAGGGATAGGTCATTGCCCGGGAGTATGGCAACCAGCACCTCCTCCTCTACAACCGCCAGCCCTGACCACATTCGTCACCTCAGCGACGAGCTAAGGCACACCACGATCGGTGGCGGCGACGATACCAACAACTCTGCTTCCACGCCAGACATTGTACGGGACGTCCCCAAAACCCATCTCTTCCACGCCCCTGCCTCCGCCCCCTTCAGAGGTATTCCAGTCGGCCCATCGTCGTCCACGCCCACCACACCCACAGGGTCGTCAAGGTCAACACGCAAGCCCCCACCGGTCAAACCAAGACCGTACCGTCCCCAAACATCTTTCAATACCAGGAATCAATCGCCAGAGAAATCACAAACTCTTTAGTAATCTAGTGTCAGTTTTAAGTCAATACAGTCAAGTTATTTATCATGCCATTCTTTCTCTTAAAGCCCCACTGTCCTACTTGTAGCTACTTGCTCCCTCTATATAGAGACAATGCCTAATCGGTGCCCGTCGGTCCACCATGATCCTCTTTTTCTTATGTTGATTAAGAGCCGAGTTGATGAGATAGCCACCTGTCACTGACCACGCTGTGTGGTCTAATCCCTCCAGGCCAAACTAGTACAGCCGGCCTTTAAGCATCTAACTTCCCCAAATCTCTATTCCATCATTTCTTGAGTGGTCCCCTGTATGCTTGAATAGCCTAAGTACACTTATGGCCTTGCATTATACACGTATATATTGTCCATTATATACAGGACTTATCCAGTTGGATACTGTTTGGGAAACAATGCTACTTTGGAAATTTATTTGAATCGTGTCTAAAACCATGCAAATAGTATCCAATTTTTCTGTTGCTTTTTTGAATTCCATGTTTACCCCAGAGTACTTGGGTGTAAGTGCCAAGGGAATTACCCCACCAAATCAGAGTCTATTCTAAGCACTAAGAATGTCAATTGTAATGAGATTCCGACTCACACATGTATTATAAAGCACTGTACCCTCACAAGCCAGATGTGACATCCCATGTACTTCTCCTCAAGAGTTTGGCATTTTTTTTGTTCTGTTGGAGTAAGAAATATGTTAATAACTGGCATCATATTCTTCTTCATTTAGATCAATATCCTGAAAAGTGTAGTATTTATGATATCAGAAAAACAGTTTATATTAGTTAATGATCATGGTTTCGAAAAATTAACATTTTTATACTACAGTATTAGGCTTTTCCATGGTAACAGAATGACACAAAAGCAGTAATTTTCTTCATTTTTAGAATTGCTTTATCAGAAATATAAGATGACTGAATCCAAAAGTTTGATTAGTGTTAGATAGCAGTTGGTTGAACGAATATCCATGAAAGATTTATCTTCACTGCTGCTATATTTTTGTTACAATGCTTAGTGTCTGCCGTTACAGAATGGCAAGAAGAAGTCACTGTGATACTGCAGGTAATAACTATCAAAACCTATAAAATGTGGCAATAATGGAGATTAAAAGTGTATCATGGACACATGTTCATATACTAATTATTTACCCGGTATTCATAATCAAACTTTTGAGTGTGGTAAAATAGTATCTTATACTTCTGAAAAACACATCTAAATATTGAGAAGTTTTTTTTTCTTCATCATTCGGTTACCTTGCAATTGCAAATGCAATTGGTGATTTGTAAGACATGACTATTTCCAGTTGGCTGGATTTTTTCATCTGAAATTTTTTCCACAAAAATCAAGTAAGCATTGAGCCAGAATTTAACTTTAGAGGTGGGAACACCTTTGTTGTTCTGATTGATTTTTCAGCCTCTTCAATGACAAGTGTCGTCAAAATGACGAGGATCACAGAGCAATGAATGGTATGCAAGCAAAATATCTGATAATGCACGGGTGATGGCTTAAAAAAAAATGATGACCTCGTACTTGTCATTTGATATTTTGAGTTGTACAAAAGTAGCATGCAGTATAATTGTTTTTGTTTTGTTAAGCTTAAAATAGTTCACCTTTAAACACTGTGAACTGGATAAATGAGTGTTAAAAGGGTACCTGACCCCCTCCCCCTCTCTCTGTAAATGAACCCTTTTAGGCTCTCATCAAAATCTACATATGGCTTATTTTAGACATTTAACCATCAGGTTATTTTTTTGAACTCTGTACTTCCTTACACTGTACAGCTTGCTTTTCATTCAAAGTAATCGATTCTGAAAATGCTGCAGAGTATCTATTCTGATGGATTTTCTGCTTCAATTTCCTTTTCGGGATAAAGTGATATATTCAAATTTAGTATACCGGTAGATATTTAAGGAATTCCAGTCTCATGGTACATCATGTTATACTCTTGTTGAAATGCACCCCTATCCTCCTTGAAGAATTATCCATTTATGTTACACCAATGACCAACATCAAGAATTCCCCAAACCACCCCAAAGGTGCCTCTGATATTGTGCCAAACTCCATGTGCTTTTTTTTTCTTCTCTCTTTCTTAGATATTTGTCAAATCCATTTTTCTGATCATTGTAAACTAGAGAACCATATTGTTTTTGTTATAAATATTTTCTTGCATTTTCATTTGATTACTGTTGACACAGGGTTTGATTTTCATATATTATATTCATTATAAAAGTACTTAGTATTGGTTGTGCGTTGTCACAGCTGGGAGACTATTACTGTACGGTAGGGTCTAAGGATATGGAAATATTTAAAGTTGGTGTGTACATACTTCTCCAATATTATTCCCCATTTAGTATCAAGTTATGGATGACCAAAAAGTGTGACAGATGTGGATTATCTATGTTGAAGGATGAGGGTTGCATATTGACTGCTTATGCACCGCTGGAATGGTTGTGTTGAATGGAATGGATGTGTTGTTGTGCAACATCTTGTAGATTTCTTCTGTGTACATTAAGTTATCTGCATTCCTGAGTTATGCATTGTCAATGAATTATTACCGTAAAATTGATTCCTGTAAAGACGATATTTACAAACGACTGTTGTAGTTCAGTGCAGTATTTACAGCTGTGAAAATGGAAGAAGACTGTTTGCTATGCACAATACATGCAAGATTTGCAATTAGTTATGAAGCAACAAAACTATTTTTTATTTTTAATATTATGTCATCTACAGTTAATTATTCTATGAATATGCATGTAGAAAAGTTTCCAATGAGGGAGATTTTTAAGTATGAAAATCTGCAAATGAAATATATTTAAGAGTATGTTGTCACACATTTGTTTTCTCATACAGATACATGTATGTGTATGCAATATGGATAATGAGTACTGCAAAAAAAAAAAAAATCACTTTGTAGTTAAGAATAACCCCAGCGTTTTACTTCTGTTAAATTTCATGCGATGGTTATTTAATGAAATACATGTACTAAAACAAAACCTTTCAGTTTGCAGTTGGATTTGAAATTTAGCATTTTAATTTTAGTTTCACCAAGATTATTTTGAAGTCTTCATTTGACTTGTTGCAGTGGCGAGACACCGTTTAGATCTTAAGATGACCGAATCATTATTTTGAAATGAGCCTTGGTTTTTGTTGTTGAATAATTTTTATATAAGAAATTGTGTACGATTTAAAAAAATATACATGTACAACAAAATAGTGAACAAATTAGGCATGAAATTACTGCATTTATCCATTCAGGATGTAATGTACAATTTCAATGTAAGCATTCCAGCATATGAATGATAAGAACAGATATATTTTATTATAATCAGTATCACCAGTGTTATATGTCCACCTATCAGAAAGTATCAGAGATATGTCCATTGCAAATTATTATTGGGGAATGTATACATGAAAAGTTTTCCGATTGTTCATATTTTGTACATGAAACGAACCAATACATATTAAAAATGGCAGTTCTTGTGTAAATATATTTTGTAGAAATGGGAAATGACTATTTTAGAACTGCCCAAATTCAACGACATATTTGTGCTGGGTTCTCGCGATTCCAGAAAGGAATTGCACTTCCATATTCAAAAGTATGATTTTTCTGTCTTTGTGGGAATTGATCGATTGAATTTTATTTAAAAATATATATGATGGGATGAAGACTATTGAATATTTATGAAATATGTTGAAGCAAATTTTGATGAAATGGTTTAAATTAGGTATGATGTACTCTTATGACGCATTCACTTATTTCTTTTCCTTCTGATATGTAAATATTTCATTCAAAGTAAATGATGTTAAATTTGATGTTAAATTTAAGCTGCATTTCTAATAGGTATTTAAGTGAGCAAGAGTTTAATATTATTTCCATGTAAGTCTCTTCCGTTGTTCACACAGTTATATATTGTTTCTGCTGAATGTTAAATTGATTAAACCAAGTACCATGGTGTTCAAATTGTAAGATAGTATCTATGCCTTTTTGGTATAAAATGCGGTGCTTCCTTTTGCAAATCATACTAAATTAAAAGTATTTTGATAAGAAAACAAACTAGTGACACCTTACTATGCTAGCTATCAATGACACGCATAAGTGTTTTAATTGAAGTGATAATTGACTTTTCTTTTGTACTAATGGTAGCTTATTGATAGTATAATAGCCTAGATCCCATTTTGTGTGATGTCACATAAAAATAGAGTAAGATACTAAACACACACCTGCTATTAAATGTAGATGAACATTTCTTTGTAGGTCTAGTCCTAAAGATATCAATTAGAATTGAATTGAATTTCAATTTTATTTTTTATTGTGGCTGTTATTTAATATATTCTACATTTATAATTTGCAATATAACAAAACATTACCAGAGTCAGTGGAAGTTTATTTAAGCTCCCATGGGGAATGAAGGGAGCGTAAACTTCTCGATACAAAGTCGTATATGCTGGTTATCAACTGTATTTTGTGCAAAAGAAAACTACATTCGAATCAGAATGAACTATATTGAAAAAAATAGAAGGTAGGATTTATTATTGTACGTTGCAAGAAGAAATTTGCTCTATATATTTTGAATATGTGCATAATACACACAGTATATGATTTTCTTTTTTAATATATATGTCAACCTCGATGTACAGTCCATTTTTTCTTTTCTGCATATATAAAGAACAAACAAAGCCATACCTTTGTGTTGTTTATTCTTGTTTTATGTCCTTTTTTTTTTTTTTTTTACTCATCTCATAGTGCTCTTCTTTTCTCTGGTTCTATTATTCCAGCTGTCATAAAGGTGTATAGTTATGAATACTTTGTATTTCTATGAATCTTGAGGATTGGCTTGAAATAACACTAGAGCACAATTTGCATTTAACAAGAAACCTCTGTCTTCTGTTTCGTTTTTATTTGGTCGTTTCAAACTCTTCTTTACATTGGTATTAGAATGAATAGTTCACAAGGAGAAAACAAAAATAGAGAGACAAGCACACAACATTTGAAGTCGTTGTAGAATAGATCAGTGCATATTTAGATGAACAAAATAGATGAATTACATATCAACTGAAAGCAAATAGGCCATAGATTACAATAATATCAAATATATGTTATTTTCGTGTCTGTCAGAGGAGTTACAGCTTTCTGAAAACTCGAAAGCTTTAAAAATTGTCTTTGAAGTTTAACTTGAAATTGTTGACTTAAACACTAGCATTCGACTTGATGAAATCGTCTTATTTGGAGTACGCATATTCACCATGACTTTGCATACATTAAGCACGGCTCATCGCCTCGGCTATATGGCGAGCCTATCAGGTCCACATGTTATGTCGTCTACCTAACTGCTACAAATGTGACCCCTGTTGACCCGCAATTTGAAGGGATGCTGAAAACGAGGTTTTAATTTGCATTAGTGCAATACTGAAAGGAAAAATATTTTCTATTCCTTAACATATTTGTATTCTATGTTTATTCAGCTTTCCATGGATATAAAGTTGTATTTTAATCAAATAAGCCACAAGTGTGGGCTACTGAAATTTGAAAAAGTCAAAGGTAAACCCCAGAAGGTAATTGTTTTGTTCGTTTCCCATTCTTCACGAGACTCTTGATATTTAGGAAGAGCAGTCAAGTCCAATGACGATGTCATTTCTGCAAATCTGGGGGTAAATGAAATAGCTAAATGGGAATGAACTGTAATCACTATGAACATGACAGACAAAGAAAGCAGACAAAATATACAGTTCCTCAGGTAGACAAAGGAACATCCCTTCACTGCTATTATGTAAAAAGGTGAATATGCATGTGACACCTGTTCTACACCTTTTTACATAATAGCAGTGAAGGGATGTTCCTTTGTCATCTGAGGAACTGTTTATTTTGTCCGCTTTCTTTGTCAGTCATGTTTATAGTGAATATTGCTCAAAATTTTCAAGACAGAACTGCTTTGATGGCCGTGACCCTGGAAACCTTATTCAAAAGCATATACATGTAAATCTATAAATTTCACAGCTGGTAAACATGTACATTAATTTTCTAAAGTCGAGCTACCCTTTATTGAAACACCCCATAGTCAGAATATGAAGGTATCACAAAATCAAGTATAGTACATCATCTGTGATGTAGTAGGTAACGTAGAGGACAAATTACCTGGAAGCCAATATTATTACAAGTATAACAATCATCACATCATACACAACAAGATAAATAAGACCGTGTCTCTACTATGCCTCTGCATATTTATATCTATGTTCATATTCATTGATCAATGATTCTGTGACCTTTAAAGGGATAGTTGAGTTCTTGTTTCAGACCGGAAATGCCTTCAAAGTACATAGTTATTGCTCTTATTCTTATTTTTGACATTTCTAGTGCTCTTTTAGGACCTAAAATTACTATGAAGGCAATTTTAGACTCCAAAATGTGTGAAATTTTGGCAATCTGCATTAAAACTCAACTATCCCTTTAACATCTGGCCTCACAAGATCAAATATTATTTTTTTCTTTTTAAGGTTTTACATACTTGGGCCAAGTTTGGTCAACACTCGTTTAATTTTTTTTAATTATCACAATAATGAGGCATTTCTGGGATTTTTGTATGGGTTTGTGGTAGGAGGAAGGTTAACAAAGAATCTTTGATCAAGTTGTAGACCCGCCTGGTCTAACTAAGAACTCCTTGAAGCTTTGATGAACTAACAACCGATTCAGACAAAGCATCCCTCTGAGATTCAGTGAGTCCTGTGAGTCTTTTACAGTTCTGCAGATCCCACCACCTTGAGATGACTGTCCTTGATAACTCCTGTAAAAAGCCCATTCCAAACCAGGGGGGCATTTCACAAAACCTCTCCTTAGTGACAAATGACAGTTTCTGTTATAAGCTACAGAAATCCTCGCTTCTGATTGGTTATCAGCAGATCTGTCACTGATTTTTGTCATTTGTCATTGAAAAAAGGCTTTGTGAAACGGGTCCCTGGAGGTTCTTGATCCATTAAGACGGTGTGAACCTCTTTGAATGGTGGGCTCCTTGATGAAGCTTTCCTTGAGAGACTTAATGTACCGGTACTCTCTGTACTGCAGCCATTGTGGTCCAGCTTAGATTGGTCTGGTAGCCTGTTGAAACAGAAGTATCAGATTCTGGTCTACTGATGACATCATTCCTCTAAAGACCCCAACTCTACGAAGTAGCTCAGTGCTCCTTAAGGGCCTTAAGGTACAATCTTAGACTAATCTTGAATTGAATTGAATTGGTTTGGTTTATTGAGAAATCACATCAAACAAGCAGCTCGCAGGCTGAAAATGTTCAATTTACAAACAAGTTAACAATATAGAGAGATATAAACATATACAAAACTAAAGTATATATTGTAAGTCATTGTAAGATGAAATCGAAATTGCAAAACAAAGTTATACAGTAATGTAATAATATACTTTCATGTTGAAGAACCAAGACGGTGGCAAGGAGAGAATGGAGAAGAAAAGGGGAAGTTGTTTGAGCGAAAGAGTTGAGAAAGTATTTAACAATTGCTAAACAAACATTTCTATTACAAAAAATGAAATTAAGCATTAAAAAAAAAAACCTATTGGATGGGATGAAATTAAACCGTAAAACCGTGGAACTCCTTGTAGCTTTGATTGGTCTGTTAGCCAGTTGAAACAATGGTATGAGATTCTGGTCTACTGATGACATCATTCCTTAAAAGACCCTAACTATACAAAGTAGCTCAGGGCTCCTTACGGGCGTTAAGGTACAATGTTAGACCAATCTTTGAACTCCTTATAGCTTTGATTGCATGGTCTGGTAGCCAGTTGAAACAGAAGTATGAGATTCTGGGCTCCCGATATGACATCATTGCTCAAAAGACCCCAACTCTACAAAATAACTCAGTGCTCCTCAAGGGCCTTAAGATAAATCTTAGACCAATCTTGGAACTCCTTATAGCTTTTATTGGTCTGTTGCCAGTTGAAACACAAGTATGAGCTTCTGGTCTCCTGATGACATCATTCCTCAAAAGACCCCAACTCTACGAAGTAGCTCAGTGCTTCTTAAGGGCCTTAAGGTACACTCTTAAATGAATCTTGGAACTCCTTGTAGCTTTTATTGGTCTGGTAGCCAGTTGAAACAGAAGTATGAGATTCTGGGCTCCCTGATGACATCACTCCTCTGAAGATCTCATCTCCTTGAAGTAACTCTCCTTGAGTACCTTAAGGTATTCTCTTAGACCAGCTTGGTCTAACTTGGAACTCCTTGCAGCTTGGATCAGTCTGTTGGCTAGTCTGAACAGTGGTCGCATCTTCTGGTCCTTCTTGACAGATTCTTTTTGGGCCTGTATTAAAACATGACAAGAAAGAAATCGTGCTCTAAAATGTTCCCACTTGTGCTCAACTAACAGGGACGACGCATACCTTTCCAAAGAAACAAACTTAGAGCTTTATATATTGTGAATACTGCATTTTGTTATTATTATTATTTATTTGACCAATCAGAAAACAAAAAACAGTGAGTATGACAATTAGATAATACATAGAGATTTCATATTACATGCAAACAACAGTTTCAGGAAAGTGGAGAGGAGAGAGAGAGAAGGATACAATCTGCTGGTCAGGGGTGACAAAAGCAATTAAAATTGCTATTACTTAAAATCATGTCACCCCCACAGGCTGCATCATACTGCATCAAAGAATGTCTGTACCAGCTAGGTAATTTTATCTGGGTTCGTAATAGTGGCAATATTGCGCTCTACATCCAGCCATAAATTGCCTTTGACCAGAAGGTATTATATATTTATTTCAACCCAAACCAACATGATGTTTTTTTTCTTTTTGTATAACATTTCTTTCTCATTTGACAGGTCAGATAAAAGAGCTGCCAATTCGTACTGGACCATTTCACTAATATATTTAATGGTTTATTATCTGTATCTTATTGAGAAAACTAGTATGTAAAACAATTAAAAAATAGAAAAATCACTCTGTTGAATGAAATTTATGTACTTTCAAATTTTGGTATAAATACATCAGTACAGCTTGGATACTCTTAAATATAATGACTACTAACTGCTAGATTGAAGATAATTTTGTTTTGTTAGACTATAAAAAGAATCATGTGAGTTGAAAAGAATGTAAAGGGTGCCTCACCTTCCTTTGGTGTGCCAGCTTTTGTGACAGTGCCTTGGCCTCTCTGACGATTGAAGGTGGTAGTGCGGATATCTCTGCTAGCTTGATACCTGTTAACAGACAAGCCTTAAATGATGGTTGCATAGAGATAAAGGCTACCTACATTTCGTATTTACCTAGTTATGTATGGCCACCAAGGGATCTCGACCCTTTCAGTGCAATGTGCAATCCAAGCCATAACATTTTAATATTGTACCTGTTTTTCTTTGACATAACAAGTTTTCGTCTCCTTGAAATTCGAAATTGATTCATGGCATTATTGGCGTTTAACTTCTTTCCAACATTAGGAAATATAAATCATTGAGGTCCCAAAATCTCCTTAGACTATTGCCTACAGGAAGACCATCATAAAGAAAAGCTGTAAATATATAATTCTTTAATCTTAAGTATGTTGAATATTGATTTAAATTATTTGTATGCGCCTTGAGCATCTCTAGAGATGGATATGTTGCGCTTTATAAATATTGTTATTATTATTTATTTTATTTTGTATAATTATGATTTGACAGCCTCGAACAGCCGTACATGCATCAATTGCTGTTTGATCGATGATTGTTTTACCCGACTGCTAAGAAAGCATGTATATGCTTGTCAGTAAACAACCAGGGACCAACTGCTTCTAGTCCTCTCCAAAGGACTTCGTAATAAGGATTAATGCCTTACCAATGGGCACAAGCGCATTGACTTGGTTTTGAACCCCGGGACCTCCCAGTTATGAGACCACCTCTCTACCTATGACCCATCGCACTTCCTGTTTGAATCATACTTTGGGGGGGGGGGGGGGGGTGAATCAAGCACCCAAAAGTGAAAGTCAAAAGTCACAACTTCTTTATAACTCATTCAAGGTTGTCCTCTCATGCGCTCCTGGGGTGTGTTTCACAAAGCCTTTTTTCAATGACAAATGACAAAAATCAGTGACAAATCTGCTGATAACCAATCAAAAGCAAGGATTTCAGAATAACAAAAACTGTCATTTGTCACTGATGACAAGTTTTGTGAAACACTCCCCAGGTGAAGATGAATTTATTTAGCTCACCATAGTACTGTTCTGTTGTTCTTCCTCTTGACAGGATGTGAGTGTAGCTGAGCCTGTTGTTGTCCTCACCCTCAGCTAGAGACTGCTCCACTTGGAAGTGGTAGCTAGAACGAGGGCATGGATACTGATTTCAATCTTCCATACATATAGTGATCTGGGACCCATTTCACAAAGCGTTTTTTCAATGACAAATGACAAAAATCAGTGACAAATCTGCTGATAACCAATCAGAAGCAAGGATTTCAGTAGCTTATAACAAAAACTGTCATTTGTCAGAGATGACAAGTTTTGTGAAACCGGGTCTCTGGACTTTAAAAAGTGACCTTAAATCCTGTTTAAAGTTTTACCGATCTGTCCCTCTCATTTTTTCTGCTTTCCTCCAATACAAATGTCTGTCAAAGCTGGATTTCCCTTTATCATAACCCTAAACAAAAAAGCTGAATGTGACTTGGCTAAATATCCCAGCAGACCTCAACATCTTCTTTGCATCTTATTATATGAGCTTTATCATCTAATGTCAAACTTACTTTCTTCTCATCATCTCATCTAAAGTAAAAGGGAAAAAAATGCCCCATGTAACTATATCGAAATTAGAAGTATGATATCGAGGAGCGACATGAATGCATAGATGTACTGTTGAAACTTAAATTCACATACAATTCATATCTTTTCGTTGCCGTTTGTTGAAATGAAAATGATCTTACTTTTCAACATTGGGGTAGAGAGCATCGAGGTTGGTGAGTTCCATGAAGTGTGTTGCAAAGAATGTGAATGCTTTGAGACTGAGGAGGTATTCACAGATAGCATGGCAGATCCCAACACCTTCGTCGCTACTAGTGCCTGATAAAACAAAATCATGATAATAAAGTGGGTGAGTTCTTTAAAGGGACTTTGTAACATTGTTCAGATGAGAGAAAATGGTGCTAAGGTAGCGACTTCAATGCTAAATGTACAATTAAAGATAATCTGGAAGTTTGAGTGAAAACGGGCCATCATTAATGATTAAAATTTGGAAAAACTGATCTAATCGATTCCTTAATTCTCCCAACTATTTTTTTTTCCAATGTTATTAGATTTTAGGTGAATGTAAATTTTCACAAAGCAATGAATTGGCTCTATATACCATTTCAGACAATTAAGTGTTGAAAGATTTTTAAAAGCCTCTTTTATGTCTTATTTTCAAGGAAAAACTGTTGGGAAAATTCAAAAATGGTTGGGAGAATTTACTGTTAATCACTATTAGAGGATGTTGCATAGTGACGCCTTCAAAGAAAATCATAAATATCTTTGTGGTTTGAGAATTTTCTCCGGATTCTTTGCCTGTTGTAGAAGTAGAAGTACAGTAGAAGGAATATAATAAGTAACATTTCATACAAAAATTAGACATTTTTTTCATCAACCTCCCAAACCTTCATCGCTACTAGGACCTGATAACAATTACAACAATCCAGCAAACTCGAGAGATCCTCAATATTGATAGTGTTATTGTACCTACCTCTTCCAAGCTCATCAATAATGACCAGGGATTCATGAGTACAGTTCTGCACAATGTAATTGATTTCTCTCATCTGAGTGAGGAACAAGGAGAGACACACCATCATCAGGGGGGATTTCACAAAGCCTTTTTTCAATGACAAATGACAAAAATCAGTGACAAATCTGCTGTCAACCAATCAGAAGCAAGGATTTCAGTAGCTTATAACAAAAACTGTCATTTGTCACTAATGACAAGTTTTGTGAAACGCCCCCCTGTTCACACTTATATTAGAAGCATACAAATATTTGTAACTCAGTTTTCATAAAACATAAAGGATAAAGCTACTAAAAACAAAGAAATATTATATTTCATGATAAATAAGGTGACAGTACCCATAGGTTTTTGGTCAGAGAAAGGAGATGTCGTAAGCGACACACTATTTTGTTACCACATTTTTAGACCGTTTGAGTGGCGATGAAAATATGAGGATTTTTTGCTTTTCTTTGGGGGGTTGTCAACTTTCTCATGCATTTTAAGTAATTGGAAAGTTGAATCCATCCTTTTCGTTCTCACATTGTCCAGTGGGCCCCGCTCACCTAGCTATCAAATTGAGAAGAAAATAAATTGATTTCCATGCAATGGGGCAGTCAAAGAACACCTCAGCATTCTCATGAAATAGTTCACCACTCATTCAATCCACACAGAAGAGCTTCTTTTCCTGCAAGGCATAGGGGAATGAATTCTTTCCACCTCCATTCACTTTACACACCCAGGGGGGTGCTTCACAAAGATCCTAAGTTGAACTTATCTCTAAGTCGGACTTAACAATCATGGAAAGCCATTAGCATCTATGAAAATATTTTGTAAAAGTTAATTTAAAAGGCATAAAATGTTGATTCAAATCGTTCATATTTTCTATTATCAAGGAAATTTCATGTTCTTGACCCGGAATTTATAAAAAGTCTAAGATACTTAGTTTTTTCGCTTTTGAATAACTTTTATTTTAAGGCTACAAATGGTTCTATTTTTTTAAAGTCCAACTTAGAGTTATGTTCGACTTAGGATCTTTGTGAAACACCCCCAGGTGTGAATGTACGCTCTGAAAGGTCATGGCCCTTACCTCTAGTGTAAAGGAGGAAGCGTTGGTTTCGATGTCATCGTCACACCCGATCCTTGAGAAGACCTGATCACAGATCCTGAATGAAGCGTACTCTGCTGGTACGAAGCAACCTATCTGAGCCATGATCTGAAGCAGCGCTATCTGCTTCAGGTACGTAGACTTGCCACTCTGCATGGGAAACGACAAGTATACTTAGCCCCTATTCACATTATCAACATTCTTCAAAGGGTTTCATAGTAATTAAGAAGTATACTTAGCCCCTTTCACACCATCAAAATTCTCCAAGGGGGTTTGCAGTGATCAATGTTATCATTAACGCAATGATAGATACTGCAATATCACAGAGTATACAATCACAAGGAATGGTACTTTTTGTAATACTACATATAAACCATAAATAATGAGGAATCTGTTGGAAGTAGAACCTGTTGAGTCACAGCTGAAGCTTACCGGGGTATTCTTTTTATTTGCACTGATATTGGAAACTGTTTTTTGATGAGTTTGGTCTCTGATTGTACATTTCACTTTACAGAAATACCTTACTATTGATTCTAAAGTTTTACAAAAACACTTTTGATAATAACACATGATCTCCAGGTGAGGTGTGAAGAAGAAGAATATTTAATTCACAAATTGAGGCTAACAAAAGTCTAAATGGAAGCCTACACAGAACATCTCTATCAAATTATGTAACCTTGATGTGACCTTAAGAAATATAATGCAGTAGAAGGTTGATATACTTACCATATTTGGACCAGTGATGATAAGGAAGTTACCCTCCTCTGATGCATACTGGTAGAATAAGGAAAAGAAAGAAAAAGGTGAAGACAATAATGAAGATCATGATTCTTCTTTTCTTCTAAAACTCGAAAGTAATTTACAGCATGTAAATGTATAATCTCTTCATGAGACCTTCTTTCTGCCTGACTGTCAGTGTGTCTGTCTGTCTGTCTGTTTCTCCCCCCCCCCCCTCTCTCTCTCTCGTCTGTGTTTCTGCCTCCTCCTCTCTTCTCTGTCTCCCCCATTTCTTAATCTGCTTTTCTCCCTAAATCCTCTCTAATAAATAATAATCATCTTACAATGTTGTTTGGAACGGGCGGATCAAAGGAGATCTTGTCGAGGATGGGATGCCTTGCCTGCTTGATGGCTAACGTATCAGTGAAGTCTGGTCTCACTGTAAAGAGAACACCATAATACAAATTATAGATAATACAGTCAAACATGCTTTAGTGACCACCTGTCTACAAAGGCAACATTTGTTGTTTCCCTTGAAAATGGTTTGTCATTGAATCATGTACTGAAGGAACCTGTCTACAAAGGCCACTTTTGTATTTCCCTTGGGCGGTTGCTATAGACAGGTTTGACTGTAATAGATAAATGAATAATAGAGTTCACACTTTGTATAAAGCTCATCAAGAGGAAATATTTACAGATCTTAAATAGTTTTACATTAGCGCAAGACAGCATAAGCAATTGTGATCTTGGATTTATGGTCTATCTACATGTATTTTAACTCAAACTTATGGAAACTAACTTTGGAAGTGCATCAGCAGTTTGACATCAGCAGTTTGACATCAGACAAAGGTGGTAAAAGCTTCAGAGTGCACTCTATGGGTTGGCAGAGAGTTTCCTCAATGACTTTGGCGTTACAAGGAAATGATCTTAATCTTATTGAAGGACACCTTGAAGATTGGAAAGTGGTTCTACATCAGCTGAAGACAGCAACGTCCATAATGTACCAAAGACATGTAGGGCTATCCAATCAACCTGAGGGATGGTTTGATGTGATTTCCAATAATCTTTGTCCTTTGATTTAGATCATGCCATCTTGATGGAAATAAACCTGAAAGTTCTGAAAAATGGTTCCACATCAGCTGAAGACGGAAAAGTCAACTGGGTACTGAGTCGTGTGGGACTGTCTAATCAGCCTTTGGGATGGTTCATGTGTTTCCAAAAAGTCTTTATCTTTTGATTTAGATCATGCCATCTTGGTGGAAATAAACCTGAAAGTTCTGAAAAAGTAATTCCACATCAGCTGGAGACAGCAAAGTCCATTATATTTCAGAGACATGTGGGACTGTCTAGTCAACCTTTGGGATGGTTTGATGTGATTTTCAATAAACCTGGTTCTTTTATTTAGATCATGCCAACTTTATGTGGAAATAAACCTGAAAAGCTCTGAAAAGTGGTTCCATATCAGCTGAAGACAGCAAAGTCCATAATGTTCTAGACTCACGTTGGCCTGTCTAATCAACCATTGTGATGGTTTGATGTGATTTTCAATAAACCTGGTTCTTTTATTTAGATCATGCCAACTTTATGTGGAAATAAACCTGAAAAGCTCTGAAAAGTGGTTCCATACATACCTGCCAACCTGAGACAAGAGAAATTAGGAGTAAATTTTTCTGGATGGACTACGAGGTCGCGAACCACCGAAGGATTGGGGTAGTAGCCCGTAGATAGGGGGGGGGGGGGAACTAACGATCACGTTCGGGCTGCGCTGTGTATATCTTCTATGAGCGCGAGCGCGGATGTTGGCGTGATCTGGTTATCAGTGCTGTGTTATGCTTTAGTCTTATACATACATACATACATATTGGTATTTATTGAGCTCCTTTACATGAACATGCTCAAGGCGCTTTACATTTCGAAATACAAACATAATAGTTATATACTCTCCAAGTGCATTACACTCTAAAAAAAAAAAAAAAAAAAAAAAAAAAAAAAAATTAAAAAATTAAAAAAAAAATCGGAGTTTTGAGGCATGCATTCGGAATTCGGAGTTGGTATGAAAAATTCGGAGGAACTCCGCCTAAATCGGGGTGGTTGGCAGGTATGTCCATATCAGCTAAAGACAGCAAAGTCCTTTTACATCAGCTGAAGACAGCTTAGTGCAATGAGTGCAACACGCAGCTGTGCAATTCTTTTAAGGTCCCATTGTACTACTTGTAGCTGTCAGTGACCACGCTGGGTGGTCTAATCCCTGGGGGCCAAACTAGTACACACAAGCTTTAAACCTGTGGGCTCAGATATTATGTTATAAATAACCTTTGCCTAATCATCAAACTAATATAAGATTTCAGGGGGAAAAAAAAAATCTTTTGTAGATCAAAGAGTACCCTCACATCAGCTGAAGACATCCTAGAGCAACACGTGTAACATACCGCCTCAGAATTCTTCTCAACCTTCAGGCCAAGAGATTGTGTTAAAAACAACCATTTCTTGATTATCAAACTAAACCAAGGTTTAAGGGAAAGGACTACAAATTTAAATTTCAAATTTTTGTAGATCAAAAAGTGCTTTTACATCAGCTAAAGACAGCCTAGAGCAACACGTGCAAAACACAGCTGTGGAATTCTTTTAAACCTGTGGGCCGAGAGATATTATGTTATAAACAACCATTGCCTAATCATCAAACTAATTTAAGATTTCTAGGGAGAAAGAAAAAAAAAATCTTTTGTAAATCAAAAAGTCTGTTCACATCAGCTGAAGAAAGCACAATTCAGCTCTACATCTCTTTCCAATATTTGACTAGTGTTCTTGATAATGATAAAATGACAATCAAAATTGTCTTTACTCCTCCTTGCTATTACAACAAATAAATACATACCATAGTCTGAGAGAGTGCATGCATGGGCAAACGAGACAAGCATGTCAATAACTGAAACACACTCGGCTAGTTTGTAGAGGCACCCTACATGCTCTCGGATGTCATTCAGTAATTGGCTGACCACACTGTAAAGGGGATGCAAAACAAATGGTACAATAACAAAAATATATATATTTCTATCACTGAATTTGATAGTTTTAATTTAAAGGTAAAGACCAGTATTGGAAACGCCTAATTTCAAAAAATGAAATGGAAACTCTCATTACCAATCATGTGAAAGAATATGTTTTGACTAATACATGATGATAAAAAATTTGCCGGGAAACCGCCTACTAATTCATATATTTGGTAAATTTCTTTCTCTCATGGTCTGTGAGAGATATAGGGTAGTCCCATATACATCTTTCTGTGTATAGTGCTTGTAACTTTACGAAGAATGGGCCAAATTTCTTATCATTTTGATGATTCCAGAACCTTGCAGATGCTAGATGCTAGATGATCAACCTTTTCTGATCGATTCCACAACGTTTCTTTCACAATGCAATCGCATGACCATAACTGGTCTTTACCTTTAATGCCTCTCTTGCAATGATTAGGTATTTTTAATGAATATAAAAATATATACATAACACAAGACTTTAGAAGCATTTTAAAAATCAATTTGTAAATACCTCAAAATGTATGAATTTTTTTTCTTTGATAAAAGTTATTTATTTCATTCTAGAAATTTAATAAATCAAGTCCTATATAAAATTTGCCAAAATTGTAAAGAATATTAGTACAATAGTTCCTTGCTTTGATACAAATATTGCTAATGTAGAACGGTATCACTGAATACGTCCCAAAACGTATGTCCTTTTCTGACCAATGCTTTGTATGGAATAACGATGTAATATGTCACGGGTAAAAACATTTTGAAAAGACTACTTTAAGAGTTGAAATGTACTTACACATTGGTCATGAGGTATATCTCATTCAGTGATTCTCTCACCCTGTCTGTATGGAGAGCAGTGGAAGCAGTTTTAAAAGTGGAACAGAATGAGTCCTGAATTTTGCCATTATCGATACTAATGTGTTAGATGACAAAATGCAAATCTGACTGATTTTGCACTGTGGTGCCACTGTACTGTGTTTTTATTGTGGAGTGGACATTACATCTCAGCAATACAGGATACACTTGGGGGAGGTGTCCTGGGGGTGTTTCACAAAGATCCTAAGACGAACTTAACTCTTAGTTGGACTTAAACATTATGGAGAGCCATTTGTAGCCTAAAAATGAAATATATTCATAAGCAAAAATTCCAAGTATTTTAGACTTATCATAAATTCGACATCAAGAACATGAAATCTCCCATGATAATAGAAAATATAAATGATTTGAATCAACATTTCATGCCTTTTAAAATAACTTTTACAAAATATTTCCAAAGATGCTAACGGCTTTCCATAATTTTTAAGTCCAACTTAGGATCTTTATGAAACACCCCCATGGTCTAGTTTCTTGATAACTGGACTACTGATCCCATGGTTGAGGATTTGCATTCCACTAATGGCATGAAGAAGACAGTTATACCGACACCTAGGCCTTAAGCAGTGAAAGAATCTCTACCTACTGGGTAGCCATTTATTCACCTGGGTCAAGACTGGCCAGGGCCTTGTTTCATAAAACTTGTTATCAATAACAACTGCCATAGATCTATGAAAAATCTGCTCACAGCCAATCAAATGCCAGGATTTCAGTAGCTTATAACAACTATTGTAACTTGTTATTGATAACAAGTTTTATGAAACAAGGCCCTGGCCAGTCTTGACCCAGGTGAATAAATGGCTACCCAGTAGGTAGAGATTCTTTCACTGCTTAAGCCCGCCTTACTACAGCCATTTTGTATCTTTGAGAAAATGTGTACTTTATAAATTCAAATAGTATTGTTTGTTATCATATCATTAAAATAGCAGTGTATCTTTCCCATGCAAAGTAACTTCTTGCTATTATTATCTGAAAATTTGACTGACAAACGTATGACTATTTAAAGTTAGAAATTAGCATAATATTTGTTTATCAGTCCTTTGGGCCAATCTTGTTATGTACTTTGTCATGTACTTTAAAACTCACATTTACAATAAAGAGGAACAATGATAGGCTTTTCAATAGCATAATAATAAATAAAAGTGTTCTACTTACCATTCATTTTGATCTGGGAGACAAAAATAAGAGGAGTGAATTGAGAAAAATTATACAATACTTGTACTGTCAGGACAGTTTTACCTTTACTAACTCAGAATTGGACTTGTCATAACCAAAGCCAATAACTCGTCTTACAACACATAAAGGAGCCTTCACACTTTCTTAAAACAAATTTAAGAAATGGCCGTGTATGAATTTTAAGAGCCTGAATACACACAAATCTGAACAGCAGGGCTCAAATTAATTTTTTGTCCACGGGGGCTCTTCCCCCCCCCCCCAAAAAAAGAGCCCCCGTGAGCAACCTGACAGGGGCGATTATGTAGCTCACAGGGGCGAATCGCCCAACGCCCCGTGTATTTTGAGCGCTGCTGAACAGATATATTCATGGGGGCTGGATGGAATAGCTGACAAAAATGGAGTAAATTCAGAATGACTTTGAGTGAATTTGAAACTAATAATTAACTGACATATAAAAAACCAGAGAGAATGCTGAGCGAATGTCAGTGATCTCTATTACACATATTACAAACGACCTGTCCATATATACGGTCTGCAAAGAAAAATTGAACACATAATGTACAATAATAATAATAATATTGGATATGTATATAGCGCACATGGTGCTCAAGGCGCTCCAAGTATTACCCCCGCTCTGCTAGGCAGCCGATTTTGGCGCTCACAGCATTCAAGGAATTCCTTCCTACCGGTACCCATTTAACACCTGGGTGGAGAGTGGCAAATTTAGATTAATATCTTGCCATAGGACATGAGTGCTGCGGCGGGACTCAAACCGAGGACCCTGTGATACACAGTCCAACGACTTATCCACTAGACCACAATACCTCTACACAGTACAGGCATAAAACAACACATGGCACCATAACAGGGTACCAAAGCTAACTCACTGGCCAGGCCATAATGAGTTCATGCACATACCAGATCAGTGGTGGTGAAGCTCAGGGTATTTTTAGCTTTCACCACTTTGATGAAGACAGGCGGTAGTGATTCCACGGGGATGCTGTATTTGCCCTTACAGTAAAGCTGAATGAAGAAACCTCTCGCTGTGCTGTAGCTTGTCCTGAGCATAAGACCATGCTCATCCGATAGCTGCTTGATCATCTCTGTGAAAAGAAAATATTAATGTATTAGCAAGTACAGGTAAACCTGTCTTTAGCGACCACCCAAGGGAAACACAAAGAGTGGTCTTTGTAGCCAGGTTCCTTTAGAACATGTTTCAATGAGAAACCATTTTCAAGGGAAACAAAAAATGTGGTCTTTGTAGACAGGTGGTCACTAAAGCAGGTTTGACTGTAGCAAGTATGCCAAAATACAATTTCAGACAGGATTACTTTAGGAGTTGAAATCTTACATATTTGAGAGTTCTCGACAATAAAAAAAATGGAATACATTATGTACTAATTCCAGTAAAATGGTTCTTGTAAATTCTTAACATCGGTATATACTCTGTCCCCTTAATCTGAACAATTTTGACAAGTGTGACAAAATCAGCTACTTCGCAAAAAGGGCTCTTAAAAGCTAAAAAAAAAGACCTACGTATAAAAAAGAAAGGAAAATAAAGCCTTATTTTCTAGTGTAAGTGTGAACTAATCATCGGAAGCATAAATGTCTGATTACTTGAAGTTGCTAAAATAAAGTCACTGTTTTAGAATTGGTAAATAATCTGCAAAAGTAGTAGTTACCACTTCAGAAAATAAAGTCTATGGCCCAAATTCACAAAGCAAGGTTTGAGCTCAGACCAAGGTTTGAGCTCAAACCTCCTTTTGTTCTTTACAAACCAGGTTTGTAAAAAACGCGTAAAATGCGTCATATGACGTACGAAAACCAAGGTTTAATTGTCGACAAACCTCCTTTGTGAATTCGGGCCTATAGGTTTAAACACTTGTATACTAATTAATAAAATGTGTATCATTATGTAGTATGATATTGATATATGGAAATTATGGAACGTAACATAGATGTGATATATTTTAAAAGTAGAAATACTTTTCAATTACCAGAAATGTCATCGACTAGTTCTGTGTAAGTCCTTCTTGCCACATCAAGTAAACCTAGAAGAAAAGATTATCAGCCTATTCATCTCTCTCTCAAATTGGAAAGAAATACAATTCTACAATGTAACCGATTGGGACATAAACACTCTGCAATCCTTTGTAATCTACAATCACATAAATGACCTAGATGCATAAGTAGATAACCATCCACTATAATTTGACCTATTCAATCGTTTATACTCCTTGAATTGTATGATTATCATTCCTAAGGTAATACCCTTTATTATTGTAAACAAAATTGTATGGAACATTCTTCCGCAATGTGATTGTCAAGTTCTTGTAATCTTCAGATAACAGTAATAATACATGTACATTGCATAACTCAATGGTGCACAGCATAATATCCTAACAGTGTAAATAGTTAACAAACACATCCAAAATCCAACTTTATCACATATAGGCGTTGTTATCATGCCATCAAAAGTTTGCCAAAAGTTTGTGCTATATAAAATGATAACACGTTACAAGTACCATTGTTTGCACAATGATATTTTCCATTAATTATTGATCTAGTGCTATATCTTTCATCATGGAGTAACATTTGTCTTGCTTTTTAAAATTTTTTATAAAGATTGTTTCGAGCTTCTTACCATTAATTTCAGGTTTAACAGCAAAGCACTTCTGAGTCCTCATGTTAAGAGTGCCTTTCTGATATCTGGTTTCATCATTAATCACTGTAGCAATCTTCTCCAAGATCTGTTGAAAGCGAGTATCTTGCAGAGTCTGTAGTACAAGGGATAAGAAGGATATGTAATGCTTTATGTTTGAAATGTATCATGGTAATGATTAGTTAATAATCTGTATGAGCTTCTGATGTATAATGAATAGATAAGGACTTACATTTTTAATCACCCTAAGCATCTTATGAAATACCACTCGTTGATTACCACCTATTTTAAAACTCGTTGCTCCGCTAATTAGTGGCAAGTATAAAAAGCTCTCAATTCAAATTTTTTACATGTTGAACTCCACACAGTTATCTCAGTCATCTATCATCAAATACATGCATCAAGCATTTCAACACATAGACTAATATAAGATTGTAATTTGTCTCTTTTGTTTGGACCTGCTCGAGGCATAGCAAGAGGAGTTAAAAAAATAAAATACTAAAAACCATAAAAACCAGTGCTCTCTTTTTTTTTCTCTCTCTCTCTCTCTTTCTCCCTCTCATTCTCCCCCCTCTCTTTCTTATTCTCTCTCTCATTCTCTCTCTCTCTCTCTTTCTCTCTGTCTCTCTTTCCTCTGTCTCTCTTTCTCTCTCTCCCTCTCTCTCCCTCTCTTTCTTTCTCTCACCTTGTGGTAGGCTTGAGGGAGTTTGGACTGGGCTGACTGCAGGGCCACATGCAGGGGCTCAACAAGCTCCAGCGTGTGCTTCAGGTGGATGACATTGGTGATCTTCTGCTCAGACGATTTCACAGATTCCTCCTTTGGTATTTGGACACACAATGACAGTAGGTGGTCCACATCGAGGAACCTGGACAGAACTATGGGGTTGGTAATTTAAGACAAATGCAGCCAGTGTAATTAAAGACATCGTTTAACAATGTTAAATCTGAGATGCACAACCCTACATGTTATCAGTGTCTGTAATATGGTATAATTATTGAAGCCCTAAAAAAAAAAAGGCGCTTCAAATGATCAAGAAGTGCCTCAAAAAAGTAAAAATCTTTGAATTACTGGTTTTACTATACTTGTTTTTCCCAATAGACTGTAGTGTTATGAAAACCGTTTGGCAAACACAGAATTTGGTTTCGATTTCCAATCATAAATATCTTCATAATCAGACAGGCGATCGGCTTGTAAAAGTCATGGGTTTCCTGACTGACCTAAAGGTTTATAAGAGCTAAATCCAGGATTTTGTTTCAGAATCTGAGACAAAGTTACCGGATTCCTTTAATGAACTAAAATGCAGTTGACACATCTCATTATTTGTATCTTCAAACGAATTATCTTACTCTACAGATGCACCATATGGCAGAAAAAATATACACCGTAAAACATTGCCGAAAAAATGCTTATACCTTACATAATAAACTCCAAATAAATTGGTTCTATTAAAAAATAAAAAAAAAAGGAGTCCAAATATTTAGACCTAAATTGCATCTCATCCAGAGAAATCATACAAATGTAGACGGTTGATAGTTTCTGTAAAACAACCTAAAATGGGAAGCTACAAGAATGTAGCATTATTTCACGCCGATCTACAGGAATTATTATTTAAATATATAATTATTCATTGAGGGTCTATAGGTCTTCTTTTGCCTGTTGAGAGCCAGAAGGTTCTTAACTCTGTGTGAAAGTACATGAGTTAATCCCCTTCTGGCTCCAAACAATGATGGACTTCGTACCTGACTGCAAATTATAAAAGAGTTCCTCATTCTCTGTTAGCTCAGCCACAACATCCAGGCGAAGCTTGATTGTTTCTTCATCTTTACAATCAAAAGAAGGCAGAAAATTGATATTTCTTTTATTATCAAACGAAAACTCATTCCTAAATGAGAAAGGAAGACATGCCACCAATTATTTGGACCAAAAGAAGCCCAAAATACAGTCAATCAATCCACATTTAAAAAAATGAAAACAACTACTTTAAAATATGACATCTTGAAAAAGAGTTTTTATTTAACTATCACTTTGTGTAAATCTTTTTCAAATTCCTACTCATCAGAGCCTCGTTTAGATATGACGTGGCACTAACAGCCTTTAATTTTAATTGCATATCATGTAACATGCTTCACAATTCTCTAACTTATGACACGGATCTAAGTGAATACGCATAGGACTATTGGTGCACGCATGCAGTTGTCATTCATTCACACATTAAACAAAAAGACAGGCGCGTCTTTTTTGGTGGCTTAATTACCGTGTCATACCTGAGCAAACATTTAATGCTCAAAGGAACAATGAAACACATGAAAGACATGATTTACAGGTCTGTCTGACTAATAAAAGATTTCTCAAACGTTGTTGACTGCTTCTTTTTTGAGGTGATTGAAGTATGGTTTGTAAATTTAAGATAGATATATTGATTATATTTCCCTCCTGATAGAATGAGTGAGAGAAAAAAAATAAACAACCTGCTTAAACTTTTCTCCTTGTGGTCCTTACAAGAGCCTTACATCATATCTTGACCTATAAATACTTACCAAATGGAGGCTGTAAGATGTTTGACCGCATCAAACGAGCTGAGAGAAGATAACCAGAAAGAGAAAATGTGTTGAAGGTACCAAACATTTAGTCATCTGGGAATCATGAACTTCTACATTTAAACAAAAATGATCTTGAAAAGACATGGATTTTAACCCATTGGAAGCACAATATGAAATGGTCAGTCACTAAAGTTCTGATACAGAATCTTTGTACACCAATTTGAGTCCCTGAGGAGTATTTCTACTATATGATTACCATGAGGGCATACGGCAATTACTAACACAAAGGCTTTTGTCATCCAACCAGCTCCCCGTTTCTTTCCTGGGTAAGGAGTGGCAAATGTAGATTAATGCCTTGCCAAAGGACATAAGTCCCATGTTGGTAATCACTCTTATCATTATATCTCAAACATCCCTCAAAGTTATTACAAACCTCCTCCCATTGTCTTTGTGTAATTGAGAACACCAAACAGAGTGTGGTCACTCTTGGGGTCTTTCCGGTTTTGAACCAACTCCAGATTTCTTGCTGTAACTGCATCTAACAAAGTAAAAGAACATGTCACCTCAGCATTGATTATTCTGATCTTTCACGTAGACATCTTATCAAACACTACTTATATCTCAAACTGGGTTAAGAAAGAGAGCTTAAACTATGAATGAATTTTAATCTTTATTATCATGATGAAGATCAATCAAAAGTCTACAGACAAGCATCTACTTCATTTATTTCATTCTTTATCTAACACTCATTCTTATCAGTCATAAACCTCAAACATCCCTAATTGAATGTATTATAGACTATCGAATAGAGTGAAGAAAGGAAGATTTTGTACTATGATTGGAATCTGATTCATGTCACTATATAGTCAAAATGACCACCACCAAAAAGATGTTTTTAACATAAAAAAGAAGCCATTTCTAAAATAATCATGGTGAAAGGGGTCATAAGTGAAAGAAATTCCTCCCAGATAAGTAAAGTAATGCACTCTAGTTTAGCCAGAATGGTCAGGTAGGTGTATAGCACCCCTCTCCTCCCTCCTTGCATTTATTTTCCTAGTCGATTATGCTAAACATTATGGAAGTACATGTATGTCATCACATGAGAAAATATATACAGATAATGATGCTTAGATATTGAGTAACAAAAAGTATGTTTTGACATGAAGTTTTTTTTCCCCTTAAAATTACAAAGAAGGTTGTATAATATAGAACCTGAAAGCAGACCCCAGACATACCTATTACAGCTGACTGTTCACTCCCTCTGAAGACCACTTTCAGTGAGTTTGGTGCATACACAGAATTCTGGATGAACTCTACATACTTCAGAAGAGCAGCAGCTGCTGCCAGACAGTAGTACCTATAAACAATAACCACAACAAAAAAGCAAAGGATTTTACTTTTTAAGCCCAAATATCAAACATCTATGGGACCTTAAAGGGGTTGTAGCATGGCAAATACTGGTTAAAGTCATCTACAACTTTTTTTTGGACAACTGCACGTAAACGAATGGACTTGATCGAAGATCAGCGAGCGCTAGCGTTCTCAAAACAGACCAAAGTTCTCCTCACGCTTCGGTTTTCCGTATGTTACACGCACGCGAATACTGCCGTCGCGTAGTCGTCATACCTAATTGGCCCCTGTTTCAGGCAACGGGAAAGACATGTAGTCTTGTCATGCTACACCCCGTTTAATGTAGGCTGTTAAGATGGTCAGAGAATAGGTCATAATTGACGAACCAGGAACAATCTAGTGCCTGGTTTCACATCCCAGTGATTCAAAGTAAATCTGCCATTTTCTCTGATATGCATGGAAGGACCAAACTGTCAAGTAACAATGATTTTAATATTCATATAGGAGATCCAAGTCAGAAGGAATTTACATGATCTTATGCCTTAGTCACATCTTTTCGTATTTGGCTTGCAAATTGCTGGTTTTTATGGCAAGCCGTCTTAACATTTATTCCTATTTCTTGATATCAAGAAATCAAATTCTTCATATCAAAAATTACCATTGCTTCACAACAGAAAATCTTTTCTTGATAAATGTTAAATGGCTTGCCATAAATATGCAGTAATACGCAAGCCAAAATATGCAAAGGTGTGACTGAGGCATAAGACTATAACATTGTGTTTTTTAAAATGAGATTGCTGTCTGATTGTGTAGTTTGCATTTGTCTTTATAGTACCATGCCTTTCAACTGTTATTCTGTTATGCCTGGTTTTTTTTTGAAACTCTACTTGCAAAATAAAATAAATATGAATTATATTAAAGATAAACTTGAGTTCTGGTAATGCGATTGCATTGTAAAAGAAAAGGTGTGGAATGAATCAGAAAAGTTGATCATATAGCATGTAAGTAATGGTGTGTAATGCAAGATTCTGGAGTCATCAAAATCATCATAAATTTGGCAGAGTCTTGGTAAAGTAACAATCACTTACACAGAAAAATGTATATGGGACAACACACATGGTGTCGGGGCTAGTACTACCCTGATTTCCTTATCTTTTTATGCTCATTACTCAGCCAGTATACATTTTCTTCCAAAATTGTTTGGCACATGACATTTATTTGTAATCTTGAACATTCAGTGTAAGTTTCGTTAGATTCTGTGAGAATTCATTTTCTTTTTTTTACCAGAACTCAAGTTTATCTTTAATGAAGTTCACTTTTTTTCAAGAATCTTATATAATTATAAATTTTTATTTTTAACAAAAACAACCAAGACACCAACAAAACTATTTTTATGAAGCTTGTAAGCCAAACTTGCAAACATCATAACACTAATTCACAGCATTTGTTTGGATTCATGAACAAGGAAGATGAAGGATTCTTATGTTCTCACAATAAATAGTAGTATCAACTGTTGGATTATGAACATACAATGCATAAAAATACATTAAAGTAATCATAGAGCTACATCATGTATTTCATATATTATACTCACTTTGATGTGATTTCCATTTCCACTGAACTGAAGTCTGCAACACACAACTGCTTGACCACTGACAGTCCTGCAACAAGGGCACATTCATAAACTCTTGAATGATCTAATTCAATTTAACACAGAGCTACCAAGTGTCACGCATTTGGTGGGTCTGAAAACGCTCTCACACACGATTTAAAAAAAAACGTTATACGTACGTTATACCCTCGCGCGCCGAATCATAAAAATGTCACGTATACCGGTAGCTGATCTTCGAACTTGGCGTCTTTGTTAATATACACTATTGCCCATAACGTTAGAATAACATTTCCTACCTCTTTTCATTAAATGATTGTGAGAATATGATTTATTCTCGATAGATAAAGTTATAATTATTCCCTGAACTTTTAATGTCTGTGACTCTTTGGATTGATCACTAAAGTTCTAAGCAGCTACAAGCTTTATCTAACAAGAATAAAACATATAGTCACAATAACTTGATGAAAACAGGTAATGAAATAAATTTCCAACTTTATGGGCAACAATGTAAACAAAATATCATAGATTGTATTTACTTGTTAAAGATATAGACAAGGGTTTTGGGTGCAAAATATCAATTCAATATTGTTTAAATATTGCCTTTAGAGGTTTAGATGGCAATACTTCAACCTAAATTTGCAAAAAGCAGAAATATATGCCCAAATGTTCAATGATGAAGTGCATTCGCGATATCTATCCAGGCCGTATCGATATGACAATTTACCAAATATATCAATTAGTAGGCAATTTCCCGGCAAAATTTGTATCATCACGTATTAGTCAAAACATATTTTTTCACATGATTGGTAATAAGAGCTTTCATTTAATTTTTTGAGAGGAGGGCGTTTCCAAAACTGGTTGCTACCTTTGATGTCAAGTCATTTACATTGATTCATATATAATCTAATAATTCATCTCTGAATCAGAACTGCACTGCATTGAACAGTCTGACCCAATATCAAATTTGTCTACAAAATGCAACAATGCAACTTAGTTGTTAATCCTGTAATATACAAAATCTATCTCACGTCCTCATAAACAAAGTTATGAGCAATCATTGATATCGTCGGCCGGCTGGCAGAAGGGCGTTAGCGCACGAACGACTCAAAAACTACTTTTTGAATTATTCGCAATCAAAGATTTGTTTTATATTTAAACTGCTTTCCATCCCGAAAAGTGGTTTAAAACTTAAAAGACTAATAGAAATGTTATAGTAGAACACGACCACAATTTTTGTGTGGAAATAAGTTAGTTTTATAAAAGTTTGAGGCGATTTAGTGCTAACGCCCTTCTGCTTAACGTTTCATTTTTTACCTGAAACTCGGGCTAATGCCCTTCTGCCAGCCAGGGGACGATATTCACTTTTGGTCAATACCTTTTGTTTCATTGAAATATTTGCGCTGAATCGTCGTCACATCAAGACCCTGAAAATTATCACTGATAAGCTTGAAAAGCTTTGTCATTGCTCCTCCTTCACACGCTGTATGGGACATAATGATCTGTCAAGAAAAGAACAAATAAAACACACAGAATTTATTCATTTATTTATTCCGTTTGATTTGAACAGGGTAGCCCGTCAGTTATCAAAGTACTGTTTTCCAGGGGGCCCTATTAAACAAACAAATTGAAAGCCTAAGTAGATGAATAACAAGCTTCGAATTTTACACTATTAATGAAGGCCACTTTCTCAAACTATAAATATGCCTCCCAAATTAAAATAAGAATCTAAATTTAAAAAAAAAAAGAAAAAAAAAAGAAGTAAATTATGAATACAGAATACAGGAATTTCATGAAAGAAATAATAATAATAATAATAATAATAATGGTGGCGTCTTAAATAGCGCACATGTCCGTCACGTTGTGACGCTCCTGGCACTGCCCTGATTATTACCCTGGCTATAGTTTAATTCCAATATCTTTTTGACACACAATATTTTTGGAATAAGTCCCCACAAATCAACACCAGTCAACAGAGAGTTGATATGATACTCTTTGATTAAACAGGAGGAACATTCCAAGGTTATGTTGTGAATCAAGCAAATTAACATTTTACTGTGCAAATAACTTACCTCAATTGGTTGCAATACTTGTAGCTTTGTTGTTACTTTCACATAGGTCTGACTATCTGAAAACTACAAAAAAGGGAGTCGGTACACTTAATCATCTACACCTACCAGAGAAGTCATCATTAAACTTCTTTGACTTTGGTTATAAATTTGGTTACTGGTGTATATCAAGAAAGCCTAAAATACTAGTAGCCTAAAACACAGACTTTAAATCTTGATTTTTTTAAAAAAATTCAAAGTGAAAATGAGGGTAGTTGAATATGGATTGATGGACATTGCTAGGCTTAAGAACCGGTATTGCTTTTCCCCAGAGATGTAAAAAGAGCTTTAAAAAATACACAGGAGCGGTGCATGATTTACATCTCAAAAGCTCAATAAGTGCTCTGGTAAAAAACAATAATATACTGTAATATCACTGTGAGATGATCGCACTTCTAGACCACTAAATCCTAAAAAAGATCAAGCGGACAGAAATGGACTTTTAAACTATATCATTAACCTTAGCCTTAACCTTAAAAACATTCAACTATGCAAAAGTATTATGCAAAATCATTACCTTTTAACATGTTGACATGAGAATCACACCTTCATGTTGTGTTTATCTATGGCCACTTGAAAAATACATGAGAAAAAATGTGGTAACTTTCTACAAATATATTCTAGAGCTAAATCAATAAAATAGTAACATACCTGTGAGAGTATCAGTTCAGGCTGTTTGAGGTCAATACTAGCCATCCCTATCTCTCCCTGTGCAATTCCTCTCCCTTCCACAATTGCTATCATAAAAAAAATTATAATAACAACATTTATAATGTGCTCATATCCACCCCAAGGTGCCTAACAAGGTAAATACATTAAACATAAGAAATTACACAAGAAGTTACAGAGAACGAAAATGATTTAACACAATAAAATATAATTCATTAAACAACATTAATTACATCAGATTTGAAATACATTAAGCTATTCAATAAATAAAGTATTTAAAAAAAAATAGGAGGAGATAAAAGGCAATGAAAGAACAAGATGGAAAGTGTGATAGTAAATGAAGAAAATAAAGTATAAATATCAAATTAATAAAGAATTTATCTTCCAATGAATCATACATTCGTAAATGAATGCTAACCAGTCGATGAAAAAACAAAACAATACAGTTCATATCTCCCCATACAGTAGGCTTTTTATCCTACTTGTATGTTGTCAAGAGCTAAATTTGTATGCACTTGATGGATTTTGAACAGTTGGGCAGACATCAAATTGTTCTACCATAATCATATCTGATTGATACACGTCTGTAAAGCCCCAATACACACACACTAATCAATTGTGAATTGTATCAATAGCTTTGTAAAGTGTCCTCATTTGCCTAAAGCACGGATAGAGAAACATACAGACAGAGAGGCAGACAGACGTACAGAGAGGCAAACAGATGGACAGCCAAGATTGGAGAAAATTGGTTAGATGGAGGTAGAGCAGAAGAGAGATAGAGACACTGAGGGACAGGTATCAGAGTGAGACACAGATGTCTTCAACCACACATACAGTATTGTAGTTCCACATCTACCTGAGACAGTGATAACACTAAATCCATTATGACACGGTCAGCTAACTCTGAGCCACACATACAGTCTTGTAGTTCCACATCTACCCGAGACAGTGATAACACTAAATCCATTATGACCAGGTCAGCTAACTCTCAGCCACACATACAGTCTTGTAGTTCCACATCTACCCGAGACAGTGATAACACTAAATCCATTATGACACGGTCAGCTAACTCTGAGCCTCACATACAGTCTTGTAGTTCCACATCTACCTGAGACAGTGATAACACTAAATCCATTATGACGCGGTCAGCTAACTCTGAGCCACACATACAGTCTTGTAGTTCCACATCTACCTGAGACAGTGATAACAATAAATCCATTATGACACGGTCAGCTAACTCTGAGCCTCACATACAGTCTTGTAGTTCCACATCTACCTGAGACAGTGATAACACTAAATCCATTATGACGCGGTCAGCTAACTCTGAGCCACACATACAGTCTTGTAGTTCCACATCTACCTGAGACAGTGATAACAATAAATCCATTATGACCCGGTCAGCTAACTCTGAGCCACACATACAGTCTTGTAGTTCCACATCTACCCGAGACAGTGATAACACTAAATCCATTATGACCAGGTCAGCTAACTCTCAGCCACACATACAGTCTTGTAGTTCCACATCTACCCGAGACAGTGATAACACTAAATCCATTATGACACGGTCAGCTAACTCTGAGCCTCACATACAGTCTTGTAGTTCCACATCTACCTGAGACAGTGATAACACTAAATCCATTATGACGCGGTCAGCTAACTCTGAGCCACACATACAGTCTTGTAGTTCCACATCTACCTGAGACAGTGATAACAATAAATCCATTATGACCCGGTCAGCTAACTCTCAGCCACACATACAGTCTTGTAGTTCCACATCTACCTGAGACAGTGATAACACTAAATCCATTATGACACGGTCAGCTAACTCTGAGCCAAGGAATAATTTAACTACATATATATACCACAAAAACAATACCTGCAATACTGTTCCCACTCTTCTAAACCATATCCTTTAATCTGTAACCACCAAATCGTGTGTGATGAATACTAACTACTATACTATAATTATGGCAAACATACAAATACCTCAAGAAAAGAAGTACTTCTGGAAGTGTGCAATTGATCAATTGTATAAAATCACTGAGACATACCAACAAGAACAGATGACTGAGGGTTGACACCAAGAGCTGTACTTGAACTGCCAAATACTGTACTCCTAGACCCAGGGGTTCTCCCAGGGGTCCTACCAGGAGTCCTCAGTCTTCCGCTGCTTGATGTGAGCTGGGTGTAACACCATGATCTAACAAAGAAATAAGTTACCACCTGTATTAAAGTACTGATCAGGAAATTGTATTGCGCTGCGAGCAGAGCTTTAAAACTGTGGTCAATGATTTGATTACAGGTTTCATTTCATTGTTGTAATTCTCTCTATTTTCTTCAATGACCCACATTTGCAGTATCACAATTGACATTCATTGGTAAGATATACATGTAGTTATAGCTGTAAAGAAAATGTTGTTGAATTATTCTTGACTTTCATATTAAAAGATTATTTCTCTGACACTAAATAGAGCATAATTTTTTTAATGTGTCAAGACCAAAACACTGATAGTTGTAACATCTCTTTCAGAACTACACTCTTCAAAACTTCTGTGACCTGTTTAAAACTTTTCCAACTTCTTCTTTCTTTTTTGTCTTTTCATGTTGGTGCTATAAATACTGAAAGTGGAAAACAAACATATTCTTTGTGTTGGGGATTCATATGATTTCATTTTATTATAATCTCTGTTCTCTTTCTTTACTTTTTTGTTATCTATCAAATTTATCGTTTATTCCACTTAACATTCCAACATTGTTTTACTATAGAGAAACAGCATTTTCCCTCATGGCAACTACATGATTTAACCTTTTAATCATAAATCAATGTTGTCTCACATAAAGGTATATCAACTTTGGTGAGTAGAAAAGTTGTGAATCCAAATAGTGCCACAATGACATGCTTCTTTGATACTTAAACCCAAATCACAAATATGCCATAACATCATATTGCATATGTAGCATCCATCTAATTCCATTTGCCTGTGTATAATTGTAAAATTAGACATCCTTGTATTGTGCATTTTCAAAAGTGTAATTTTGTATCAATTATAATTTTCACATACCTCCCTGAGCTGTTAACCCTCTGTGGGGCCCTACTTGTACTTGTACTAGCCGATGACATGAGAGTGGTATTAGGTAGGGTTGACACAGCTGAATGACTGATACTGGACATCCTGCCATATTCCCCAGAGCTGCTACCAGTGTTCCGTGATATAGATGCGGAGGGCCCTGTTGTGCTCCATACTGAACGGTTCAGAGGCCTGGCACAAGCAGGAGTCTTTGCACTGCCTGTGCCATAGATTTCAAAATCTGTGGAGTAATCAAAATAGCGTTGAGTAAAAAACCGGGAGATTGCGGGAGAGCGGGAGTCTCCCGCTACGAGCTGGTGGGCCGGCGCAGGAGAATGAGCGTGGTGGCGTGAGACTCCCTCCAAATGCGGGAAGGTTGACAGCCCTGATTAAGGCTAAGGATATAAAGCGTAGCTTAATAAAAGTTAAAGCCCTACTGTCCTACTTGTAGCTACTTGCCCCCTCTATATAGAAAACTTCCCCAATCGGTGCCTGTTGGTCCCCCAATCTGATCCTCTTTTCCTTCTGTTAGTTGAGAGCTGAGTTAATGAGATAGCCACCTATCAGTGACCTCGCTGTGTGGTCTAATCCCTTCTGGCCCAGTGGAGTTAGTATTGACGGTCTTTAAAGAAAAGGCCTAGGGGTCTAAGTAAATTCAAGAGATCTTGGCTAACATCAGAATTAGGGGTAACACTAACAGTAACACTAGTCTAGTACTACTTGGTAAATAGGTAGACCCAAAGCCTGGGCTGTCAACCCTCCCGCATTTGGAGGGAGTCTCACGCCACCACGCTCATTCTCCCGCCAACCCACCAGCTCGATCGTAGCGGGAGATTCCCGACAGCCTCTTATTTTTTCGTACCACAGCGAGCCCAGATTGAGCTCGCAAACAAAGGAACATTTTTTTCATGCCACAGCGAGCACTTATTCAGATTCAGAAGCCCCCCCCCCCCCCAAATTTCATAGACTCTAGCCTAGGGTCTAGTCTAGACTAGATCTAGGCCTACGAACTCCCTCAGAAGTCAAAGCAGTTCCCCAAGGCCATAGGCCTAGAATCTAGGGGTACTACCGTAGATCTAGTTGACAGACAGCCCGGCGCCGGCCCTGACAAGCCAGGCCAGGCCGAAGACTAACAAATTTATCTTTAAGTAAAAACAGCCAGAGCTAGATCTAGACTAGGCCTAGAGGGGTCTAGATCTAGAATCTAGTTAGATCTAGGCCTAGACTCTAACTGTTAGATCTACTACTATCTAGCCCAAATTTTCTCTCTTTCGTTCGTTAGCCTCTGATTTGGGTAGGGTTGGAAAGAGAGGAGCCGGCCCTACCCACATAAGAGGCTTAACAAACGAAAGAGACAGAAAATTCTGGCTAAGGGTTCTAGACCTAATAGTCTATCTAGAACTAGATCTAACTGTTAGATCTAGATTCTAGAGTCTAGTTAGATTAGGGTCTAGACTAAAGTTAGATCTAGATTCCACCCTCCCCGTTGAGCAAATAATTGCATACGAATACGATACATTTTTGGTTCATTTTACACGTTAGGCGGTAACGTTAGACCTAACTGTTAGATCTAGGTTTTTTTTTCATAAACCGGGAGATTGCGGGAGAGCGCGAGGAAGGGCGTGGTGGCGGGAGTTCAGCTCCCGCTACGAGTTGGTGGGACGGCGGGAGAATGAGCGTGGTGCATGGCGTGAGACTCCCTGGCCTCCAAATACGGGGGGGTTGACAGCCCTGAGACCTCATCAAATTTTGATTTCAATAGACAATAGATCTAGCCTACTCACTATATTTTGAGCCCAAATTCATTGCCCGTCTCACTCTCAGTGAATTCCAATCTAGAAGGTGCAATAGACTCTAGGTGTAGATCTAGACCAATATAAGATCGAAAATAGAGTCAGGCCGTGCCAAGCCGTCGTCGATCGCGACATGAACGAAAACATTTACCGGGCCGGATGCGCGTCATATTTTTACCTATTTTTTCGTATACGTACGGCGCGCGGCGAGCCCAGATTGAGCTAGCTAGCTCTCAATGGAGACATGCGCATGCGCACTCGCGAAGGAAACCAGCGCATGCGCACGTGGAATCCAGTAGGGTTGTCAATAGGGTGATAGTAATTATACAAATCAATCTTTCATCAACTCATCTTTAGCTCAATCGGTAAGGACAGCGTGTTACTTATAACCTTGGAGTTGCCGTGAGGGTTCAAATCTCAGTTTATTTAGTTTTTTACCTTATAAATAGTGAGGCAAAGCAATACAATAATCAAAGTCTTATTGTTTGTGACCTCTTTGCAAGCTTACGTAGCTTGTATGAAAATGTATGGAATCTGGGCTCGCCGTGGTACGAAAAAAATCAGACGCAACCGGGATGCGTTATTTTTTTATGCGGCACAGATTGGGGCATGGTACGTGTTGAGCCTATGGGAAGTACGTTCTTTCCCTTCTGAATAATGTCTGCACGTACGTGAGACTAGGCATGTTCGCTAGCGCATTAGCGCTGCGAAGAAGTTTGAATATCCATCGCGAACTATGTGTTTAGATAACATTCCTCTTCGTTTAAGTTAATTAAGTTTTATTGACTAATTATTGTGATGTTCTCCTTGTTGACATGCTGCCTCCTCTTCAGATTTTCAATTGCATTTTAATAGTTGATGTAATGATTTTCCATACGGTAGTGGATTACATGTAACACTATTAAAAACAGACCTCTACAACTAGTACGCACACGACCACTATTAGTCTGTAAATCAAGACCCCTTTTTTAAAAAAGCCCCAATCTGTGCCGCATAAAAAAATAACGCAACCGGGATGGGGTGTATACGCTATAGCCTAGCCTAGATCAATCATGCGTCTGCGCATGCGTTTGCGATATTTGTAAGGCTGCATGTTTTAACCGTATAGGTAGCATTTACGCATTAGAGAGGGTAAGAGCCTGAGAGAAAAGAGGTGGGAGTAAGAGAGAGAGAGGGGGATGTTGGGAGACACCACGTCTATACACGTCGAGGGGGCAAGAAAGAAACGCATAGATAATTATGTTGCTGTGTCAGGTCCACTGTGTCGGTATTCTTGCTCGACCCTCGTGTGCTATATCAATGTAGAAGTTTGAAGTCGGTGAGATGTTTTATGTCGGTCGGCAATTTTTTTTCCCCTACGAACTGTGACTTTTTATCGGAAAATTAAAACATTTTTTTTTAATTCAGACAATGAATAATGATTAAAGTTTGGTACAGCGAATCGTCTTCTTCAGGGGCGTAGACAACGGGGGGGGGGGGGGGGGGGGGGATGAGGGGGATGCATCCCCCCCCCACCTCACAAGGTGGGGGGGATGGCATGTACAATCATCCCCCCCAGGTTTTGGGGAGTGATATTTGCTTACTTAATAAGTCATAATGATGATAATAATAGTTATAATAATAATGATAACAATTATAATATTAATAATAATAATAATTATGATGATGATATTAATAATCCTCATCATTATTGTAATTGTGTTTATTGTTATTAGCCGCATTCACACGGTGAAAGCCAATTCAGACGGTAAAAAAAAAGAAAAATCTTACAAGTATTTTGTGGTTATCTTGTGGTTTGGAAACCACAAGATAACCACAAGATTAAACAGGCGCGGATCTACGGGGGGGGGGTTAGGGGGTTTAACCCGCCCCCCCTTGGGCGGCCCAAAAAAACAACAAAAAAAAAGGGAAAAAATGAAAAAAAAAAGAAAAAAAAAGAAAAAAAAAAAGAACGCACGCTGGAGAGAAACCCTTTCAAGTGCAAATATTGTGAGAAGATATTCAACTCATCTGGTAACTTAACCAAACACATGATAACTCTGGATATAACTGTGTATTTAACTGTTACTTGATTTAAAAAGACGTTATCATGCACTACTTTTTATGGTCTCCATTGTGTTAATAGATGCCAGGAAAACATCACTTACGGGGTTCAAATAAACACCCCAAAAAAAATCGGCTCGCCGCTTCGCGGCTCGTGGACGATGCTCCGCATCGTCATTATTGGTCAACCCCCCCCCCCCATTAGCAAAAAGCTAGATCCGCCCCTGAGTCATCCCCCCCAGGTGTACGAACCTGTCTACGCCACTGGTCTTCTTTCTCTAATAATTTAATGAAACGTCAAAGCTTCCGAGGGGTGGGGGGGGGGGGGGAACTGAATTCAGACAAGAATTAAGAAACGAAAACAGTACAACGAATCGTTTTCTCTAATAATTCTCTAATAATTTAACGAACCGTCAAAGCTTCGCGCGAGAGGGGTAAACAAGAGGTAAGAGTCGGGAACGGCCGTAGGCCTACAACGAATCGTCTTCGTAATTCTTTCTCTAATAATTTGATTAAGTATCAAAGCTTCCGCGCTTCGCACGGGAGGAAGGAAACTGAAAAAAACTTAGTTCTTGGCCCCGGGATAATAGGGTTAAATATATAGACTTTGGGACATTGGCACTGAAAAAGGTCTAGCGACGCCCCTGATAACGACACAGTTTATACACTCGAGATAATTTCTGCGGCAACGAACAAGTACAACGTCTCGCGACGTGATAGATCACTTTTCTCTTACTTTTGACCAATCAGAAGGCCTCATTTTTTCTCAGGAAGTGCCGGTGGACAATAATGGGCCAAATGTGGTTCTTAAATTGCAAAATATGACAGATCACTACTCTTGGAGGGGGTAGGAGAAAGCAATTTTACGTCATAATTACTCCAGGAAGTGCCTGAAAATGCGCCGAATGTGGTTCTAAAGTTGCAAATGCTTCCTACTCACGGAGGGGGTTCTGACCCCTCCTAGATCCACCCCCGCTTGGTCGCTCCGCTCCCTCGCCGCTGATGCCTCGCCGCTGTCGCTTCGCTCCATCGTTTTTTTCATATATTTGCCCCCCCCCCCGGTAAGAAATTCCTGGATCTGCCAATGATTGGAAAAGGAACATGTGTCAAAGTAAAAGGGGCAGTAATTAGTAGTGAAAATGGGGCACTTCTCGCACCTGAAAATGGGGGGGGGGGGGGGGGGGAGGGGGAGTTAAAATTCGAAAATCGCGACGACCGATATTTCGTCCAGCCGGCCGGTGAATAAGCGGGGGGGGGGGGGCCGGGTTAAGAGCTCTTTTTTTGGGGGGGGGGGGTCCAGTTTTGATGAAAAAATTCGCAGCGACTCAGCCAGCCAGTGAATAAGCGTAGAGGGGGGGGGGGGGGGGGGGGGGGGTAAGAGCACATACTTTTTGTTGTTGGTGTCCCGGAAATTGGAAATAATGCCGACCGATATTTCGTTTAGTGGGGGGGGGGGGGGGGTAAGGTAAGTTTTTTTAAAACCCTTCAGCACACAAAATATTGAGGGGGATTATTCTCTAAAAACCCACGCATTAAGAAAAGTTGAGGGTGGGTTACCCCCAAAACCACCCCTGCGTACGCGCCTGCAATGGACACTTGTGAAAATGAAACAGTGGAACTTATTCTAGAGGAAAAGGGGCATTTGTTGAAGAAAAAGGGGCACCTGTCAGATTTGAATAGGGTTTTTTTTTTACCGCAGGTGGTAAGGGGGCACTTGAAAAGAATGTGAAAGAATGTGTTTTTCTCTCGAGTTTGTCTTATCATCATGCGTGGGATCTTTGGGTACTGGGGTCTTTGCAGCAACCCTATACATGGATTTTTTTTCAGTGGGTGCATATAACCCATGGAAATGTTTGTAAACCTTCAAATGATGAGTTATCATCGAGACCCCCACCCCCCTCATTACTTTTCCAGCTCGTGACCAGGGGCGTCGCTAAAGGGGGGGGGGGGGGTGCGACACCCCCATCTGTCAGGATATTGTCGGTAAAATTGCGCTGCCGTCGGGAAAAATGAGAAAAGGGGGAGGGTAAAAACGAGAGGAAAGAGAAAGAAAAGAAAGAAAAAGAAAGGAAAGAAAAGAAACGAAAAGAAAGGAAGAAAGGAAAGAAAGGAAAGAAAGGAAAGAGAAAAGAAGAAAGAAAGAAAAAAAAAGGATAAGAAGTCGGTGAGATGTCGGTCGGCCGGCAATTTTTCCCCCTAAGACAGAGGCGGCCCTCCGGGGGGGGGGGGGGCAGAGGGGGCACAGTGCCCTTTTTATTTTTGACACATGCCCCTTTTCCTTCGACATGTTCCCATTTTCCTTTGCAGTAAGTGTCCATTTTCCATTCTCATAAATCTTGAAATTATCTTGAATAAGTGCTCTTTTTAATCTCTAGTAAGCGCCTCTTTTCAGGTACGAGAAGTGCCTCTTTTCACTTTTGATAAGTGCCCCTACACCTCTGCTAATTGCCCTAATCAAAACTGAGAGGTGCTCTTTTTACTTTGACAACTGCCCAGCGCTCAAAATACACGGGGGCGGTGGGCGATTCGCCTCCGTGAGCTACATAATCGCCCCCATCAGGTTGCTCACGGGGGCGATTGCAAAATTAAAAATCGCCCCCGTGGAATTATAAAATAAAGATTATCTTTTCTGTTATAACTTTAACACAATATTGAGTTCCAATTTTCAAACCTTAAACCAATGAAATGGAACTTAGATTAGCGTGCAAGATAGGCCTAGTTATTACCGATTCAGCTCGCAGTGCAGTGCTGCCGTCATCAGTGGTTATAGGCCTACTGCGCCGTTAGTAGCGGTACGTGTGCACGCTGCCGCGCCATGTCTGCTGGAGCTGGAGGCGATCGCGCAAGGGCAGAAACATGGTCATGGAGAAGTTTTTCGTTGTGAAAGCGTTAACCCGCTGAAATCTGGTGATTTCAAATGACCAGCAAATAATGAAACTCGACCAGTAAATCAATATTAGGGACTTTTAGATTTG